AACACGATGCCACAACTGTAATAACCGTCCGCGATCGCGCGCGCAGCTGATTGCATAGATGGCCGCTTTTTGGCCCACTTTGGCTCTAAAATGAAGTGTGAACCGTAAGTTGCTTTTTTCACAAAATAATCCACGATCTGCTGTAATAAATTGCAGTAATCAGTGGCAAGCATTAGAAAGTTGTTCCCTTCACTATTCAAGACCAATCAAGGGCTTTCTTGGGTAATTAAACTCCTATCACTCCCATAAATTGATAAATGACCATCTAGCAACAGCTAGGAGACATTATGCACAAAGTTTTTCCGTCCGCTTTCCTCAGCTTTCTTTTTTCACACAGATTACAATTTATTTATTCTTTCGGTATAGCAGAAAGTAGAGAGAGAAGATAGATAGCGCATAATTTGCTGGTGAAAAAATTAAAAGTGGAAGAAGTCCCAACGTCCAAAAATATCATATGAAAACACCTTTTGCGACAGGATTGAAATAGTGAAAGACTTGCAGCCGCATTTCGTCATGATCTTCTTATCAGTAGCGAACGATAGTAAAACATGCACTTTACTTCTTCCTGTCTTACGAATGAAAACGATGTAACAGAGCCTAGTCGCACATTTCTTTTCTACCCTTTGCACCGAATTGCTCTCAGCTTCAAAAAAAAAGGGAAAAAGAGTTTCTCTACCATGAAAATAACTGGTTCACAATTAGAAGGCTTCACAACCGGGTTGCCTGCTTTCGCTCCTCTTCAATCTCCTCAATTATTGAGTGTGCAGTTGCACGTCAGATAAGTAAGTCCTAGAACTGCGGACTTCGCTGTCAGCTCGTTTTTTCTGCACAGGGTTTGCTCTAAATACTTCCATGACGTATTTTGGACTTATCTATACTTTTTTCATGTCTTATACTGTCAATGCCTCAGCTTGCAGTTCCTGAAAGACTGGAGTGTTTGTTTTATTTTTAGACTAATAGCCCGTCATCCTTATTTTTCTTGAATTTGAGTGCATAATTAAGATAACGCGAGCGGCATCTGTCTTTCTCGCACTACCAATCTTCCCCTTCAGAAGCGATTTACGTTAACGTGGTTTCCAATAGTTTTCGGGTTTGCATTCTGTAGTAGTCGGTTTAGAGAAACCATTATCCGTCGGAATCCGGCGCTGACCTAAACTACAGTATATAGCTAACTCGACCATAAAAGGCGACCCAGCTGCCTCTTATCTTTCCTTTGGCTACAAATCTTACTTATCACATCATTAGGATATCATGTAACTAACATATTGTCTTATTTACTCTCTGATCTTGCCACGTTACTAGAAATCTCCTCTCTTGGATACTTTCTCGATATACCATAACATGCAAATGCGAAGGAATTGATGTTTCTCTATATCTCATAGAATGTATCATTATCGAGATATCCCAAAACTTTTCGCTACGAATAATAAGAGGGTTCAATTTGATGAAACTGGAAGAACCTCTGCTTTCAGTCCTTGCCCAAACTGTCACGTGTACATTATTTAGAGATATGAAGTCATCTTTACCAATGATGATGGTCTTGTTTTGATATATATCATTCTTAAACAACAAAAATCAGATCTCATAAATGATAATTCTACGTCATCCACCAACCTAACTGTTGCTAGGAAATCTGGGTCCCCATTCATTGCTTGAATGCAGATAGCGAAATGATCAATTATTCTCAGACAATTCTGTGCGCAGGCGGCGCGCACTGAATCAGCGAGCGATGTACCTTCCCGCCGCCTGTGTGTGCAGTGCGCGCCGCCTATGGATTTAAGGCAGGGTTCATACTGAGCCGCACAAAGCGGCACAGTTCCAGCACAGCGCTCGAACTGTGCTCGAACTGTGCCGGAACTGTGCTGCATGCGCGGTTGGAGTATTTTGACCGTTTCTGACGGTTCCTCTAGGTTTCTCTCATTTCGGGCCCTATTACTCCACCCCGCTTTTCCTTTTGATGAGTGGAACTCCGAGCGCAAAACGGGGTTGAGGAATAAGCGCTGTTCTGCTTTGTGTGTCCGATTATCGTGTTGTTCCGCTCGTTCATATCTTTTCGTTTTATTCTTGCATAAAGGTATTCCATTTGCTTCCAGGGGGCCGCTGCAATATTTTCGCAGGCATTTTTCTTCAAGGAGAGCAAAAATAGTGCAGAAGAACAGGAAATTCCATCAATCTGTTGGTCACGATTGGCTCCTAGCCCCTTTTCGTTTTCTTTCATTGTTTTTTTCGTTCTTTGTTTTACCCCGCTTTCCTTCTTGTTGTGTAACGCGTCGAACTTGAAGCGGGGTAGAAGAAAGAGCGAAAAAGCATTGAAATGGAAAAAGAACGCGGCTGAGAGGATACATAAAGCACAACCGCGTTCATTCTTTTACCCCGCTTCAAGTTCAAATCGCTACACAACAAAAAGGGGAAGCGGGGTAAAACAAAGAACGAAAAAACAATGAAATGAGAACGAAAAGGGGCTAGGAGCCAATCGTGGCCAACAGATTGATGGAATTTCCTGTTCTTCTGCACTATTTTTGCTCTCCTTCAAGAAAAATGCCTGCGAAAATATTGCAGCGGCCTCCTGGAAACAAATGGAATACCTTTATGCAAGAATAAAACGAAAAGATATGAACGAGCGGAACAACACGATAATCGGACACACAAAGCAGAACAGCGCTTATTCCTCAACCCCGCTTTGCGCTCGAAGTTCCACTCATCAAAAGGAAAAGCGGGGTGGAGGGATAAGGCCCGAAATGAGAGAAACCTAGAAGAAAAACCGCCAGAAACGGTCAAAATACTCCAACTGCGCATGTAGCACAGTTCCGGCACAGTTCGAGCACAGTTCGAGCGCTGTGCTGGAACTGTGCCGCCTCAGTATGAACCCTGCCTAAGGCCCGCCGCCTGCGCGCTACGAGAGAAATTTTGGCAGGAATCGGCTCGAATTCTTGTTGTCGGTCTGAATATCTTATGCTTGTTGGACACAATGTGGTTTCACAACTATTTTATTAACGAATAATATCTACAATTTTCAAATCTGACAGGTTTTGAAACAGCAATTCGATCAAATACATTACTTACAAAATTAGGGGGTCTTCAGTGGCTGATATTGTTCACTGTCACTAGCTTAATACGTACAGAACTCACATACTCTTTCAAATGCGATGTCAAGAAGATGTGTGTAGGAAAAATACATAATGTACATTTTTTGAGGAATAAAATATGAAAATGCGATAGCAGTGAACAAAACGTGGGCATGCTGGACCAGCCAGAATTAGATGCCCATAGATTTCATATACCCAATTCAACCATAGGAATCGAACAATTAGATGGGGGGGGGGAGGACATGATGGTTAAAGAAATGAGATTTGGGATGTATGATGAGACATGAATAATCTGGATCAGCCTCTTCCTCGTTATTCCTCGTAATGTTTCTTCTATCAAGGATTGATTCCATCAGTCGGTGCTAGACGCTTGTCGTGACACTGAAATACATGGTATTAACAAACTGAAGAGAAAAAGCAACAAGAATTTTAACGAAAACTGCAAAAAAAAATGCAGCTTCTCACCTCTTTAAGATAAATAGTCAGGGCTGAGGTCCCCGCGACCATAAACTATCTTGATTCTTAGTATGGGGTCATTGTAGATTGGTGGCTGAAACACATAATATGTTTTCAGACAAAACACCTACTTTGGTTTCAAAAAGCCAGACTTACCCTTTTGAGCGGACTTTCTTTCGACAATCACGCGTAACCATCATTGTACTGAAGAAGTTGTGGCCTGAAGTCAACATAGCTTTCATCTTGAGAAAAAGGAAAAAAGAAATGGCAACGGAAAGAAACGTAAGAAACGCAACGACGCAGGAAAGCGCTATTGATTGGAAGTGAGCGTCCCTGTGTTACGAGGTCAATATGATTAAGGACCAGAAGTAAGGTAAAAGATATGGAAGACTGATATGAGAAACAAGAGTGATTTTGGATGAAATAAAAGGGGAATGCTACAAAAAGGCAAAGAATCGCTTACTTGATCTCAAAACAACCTAGAAATAGAAAAAGAGGTGAAACAGCAGAGTAAAAGTGAGGTAGTAGACACACGATGCTTTATGCAAAAAAAACAGAGAAACAAGGAGAAATGGTTTTTCAAAAGATTCTGCATTTGCGCGCGAAAACAAGCGTCCCTCCTCGCTTACGTGATGCTACAGAAAGTCCATTGCGCGCCGCCTGCACGCACGCCGTGTTTGCGCTCCGCCTGCGAACATGCATTGCGCGCCGCCTGTTGGCTGAAATCAGTGCGCGCCGCCTGCACGTTGCAGGGCCACGCCCACAAATCACGGCGCGCCGCCTGCCCTGCTGGCCGTAAGTGCGCGCCGCTTGCGCGCAGAATTGTCTGAGTACGACCCAGAAGATAAACAACACATCATACTAAATGCAGGACCACTTTATGATTTGATAAGTAAGATTGGTAAAAGGTAAGGAGTAGCCGGGTCGCCTTTTGTGGTCGCGTTAGCTATATACTGTAGCTAAGGTCAGCGCCGGATTCCGACGGATAATGGCTTCTTCGGTTTAGAATGCTGACTGTGGTTAGGGATTAGAACAACGTTTTATTTCAATAAGCGTGCAAAAGCCTCAACATTACTACCAACTCACTTTTATGAGTTATCTTATCTCTCCTATTTAGCGAAATCTCGGAGCGATTCGACACGAAATAATGATGTTCGTAAATAAGATATGTTTTCTGTGGTTTAGCCTGCTGAACTCTCGAGATGAGAGTGCAGGGATATAATAAAACGACCTACACTTCCATCATGATCTAGTTTCATGCATTTACCTATACTTGATGAATCTCAACCGGAAACTATACTTGCAACAAACAGACTGCAACATTTTGGAGAGAGGCGTGGATAACTTCTTATATGTGTAAAATACCATCTTAATCTTATTTGATTATCAGCCGCAACTAATTGTTCATCTACGTTGTGCTTGCTAGTTTCTTGCCAAGGTAGATCTTCTTGCTCGAAATTGGTAAGGACTTTGTTTTCAGAGGGGACGAATGTCCATTACATTTCCATGTTGGTCTCGAGTCAGCAATGCAGTTGAAGATCCTCAAACAAAAGTCTCTGTTGCTCAAGATCAGGTGGTTCAGCTGACAGGCGAAGACGGTGATTGGTAGGAGTTAAAATCTTCTTTTCTTTTATCTTGTTAATTGATCACTGATATGCTCTATCATTGAAAATGCTAGCTCAGGGCTTTATCATAAATGCATAATATTTTTTCTTGGATTTCATTGTTCTTATCTTGTTTACTGTTTTTATGACTTTCTGTTTTGAGGTACACCGTAAAGACGCTAGATGAACAGTTCGGCAGAGTTCCAAAGGTTCTGACCAACGTTATCACCAATCCTCTGCGGTGAGCGCACTAAACCGCTTTACAGGTCGCTTTCCACCACCTAAATGCTTTTAGGGTATCTACGGAGAAAGTATTTTGCTCAATAGCGCAATATGATCCACAAAGGGAAGGAGATCTGGCTTTTGGAATTTTCACTATTCTCGGTGGGGTGCTTTTCTCAGCTTGGTTGATAGCATTTATCAATTTTTGTTAATGTTCTATCTGTTTAGTGTCTGAATCGATCAGTCCCGAAGGATGGCATACTGGTGTGGTTGTCACTGATACGGGAAAACGTTTAGGAAATAGTGGGACCTACCCTGGAACTTTCGTTACAGAGGTAATGCTCTTTTTGCTTTGTTTATTGATTGCTTTGCCTTTAAAAAAGTCTTTTTGTCGATGCCATCATCCATCGACAGTTTATTCTTATGTTCATAAACCTCTCGAACTGATCGTGATAGCTTATTCATATCTCCCACGGCATTGCATTTTGTTAAGTCAGAATGTAGTTTTTGTTACACCACCTAACTGTGCTTTCAAATTTTGATAAATCGTGAATGTCTCACTCATGTCAAATTCTTCTCGTCGCATCCAAACGCCTATTTTTGACCAATCAGAATGAGAGTCTAGTTCAACGTACGGTGTTCGTACCTTGAAATATTTACGTTCGCACCTAATTCGTCTCGTGAATATGCATCAAATAGCGTTTGCGTATGCTTCATTTGCTTGTAATTGAAAGCGCGATGCATGCTTACAAACAAAATCTACTCTATATCATACTGTGGCATGTGCAGGTCGAATTTATCCAGTAATTTTGTGTTCAATCATCTTTTTTGTAAGATTGACTGTAAGTTGTTGTTTTTTATAGGATTGGAAAGTTACATTTTTATCTATCAATAGATGTTTACTACTTCAGCTGACTGGATTTGTAGCGCCAGCTGTTCCGCCACCTATTCCACCTGCTATTCCGTCTTCGTTTACGAAAAATTTTACTGACGTGCATTTTCGAGAACAGTTGGCTGGGAACTCGAATTACACTGTTCTTCCGTACGCAAGAGCAGTGTATGCATTCAAGTAAGCGTCAACATTGTGCTTATCGTTTCACAACTATTAATTTCCAGCGCTGAGTTTGCAAACGAGTTGAGTCTCAATGTAGATGACATTGTAACCCTTACAAAAAGGATAGATAAGGATTGGCTAGAAGGTACAATGCCGTCAACCTTTTTTTGTTTTGTTTAGATGTTCGATTTTTAGGAAGTGTGAATGGTAAATCAGGAATTTTCCCTCAATCGTTCGTTCAAATTGTTGTGGATCTTCCTGGTGATGGAGCTCACGAATCAGAACACAAGAGACATAGCACAGCAGAAGAAGGGATAGGGTGTGTTTCCTATATACATAGTCATGTTTTTCCCATAAATAGCTTACAATATCTCTCCTATATCGCTACTTAACCTCAGGCCTTTTTTCTTCACAGATTCCGGTACTTATACACCATTATCCCCTCTTTGTAGATTTGCTACTGTGCGACATGATTTCATAGCTAGGCAAAATGATGAGTTGACGGTTAAGATGGGTGACTCAGTGAGGATTTTGAAAATGGTTTGTTCTTATATACTTACAAAATCAGTGAATTACGAATTTTATATTCAGGTGAATACAGATTGGGTATCATGCAAGGATCCGAACACCGATAAAGCTGGAATCGTGCCAGTGGCCTTCTTGGAGGTAAGTATTAGGTTGGCACATAAGTTTTGCAACTTTTCCCGTAACTTTTTTCCTATTTCATGTAGCAACCTCATTTTGTGGCATCATGTAGATCGTGATGTAAGCTGCAAGTCTGCGCAAACCGTTCGATTTTTGATAACGTAGTGCAAAAAATCTAAGCATTTTTAAAAACTGCTGAAAATCGAGGTTTCATGATTTTTTGGTAAACATGAAGCCCCACGAAACCTGATTCAAACAGATGAAAAAGCAGCTATAGGCAGCATGTAGCTGGAAGTTGGCACATTGGAATCAGTGAAAAAGAAATGAAATTCAAACACAGATTAAGTTGGGGCGCCTTTGAAAAGTCGAACAAGTCAAATGCGTCAAGTTTTGATGGCAATTTGTCAATAATTAAGCTGCGAGAAGTCAGAATTCGCTATAACTTTGCACTATAGAATAATCCTATGCGGTAAACACGACTATCGTACTCATTTGTCGCTAAAATGAAATTCATCTTTTGATCTCACGAACGAGGCCCTTTCATGCGAAACGGATCTCATTTTTGCGATCAGCATGTCAAATAAGCCCTATAGGCCAAGTTTCAGGAAAATCTGATGCATTCTAAAATTTTCCATAGTACCGTAAACCTACCGTAATCCTCACATATAATGGTAAAATTCGGCAAAAATGTGTGCATTAGAAGCTTACATCATATTTCTTATATTGCCAGAAAATGAATGCGCTACGTTCAAATAGACAAAAGTTATATAAAAAGTTGCATTACTTATGAACCAACCTAATAATGCAAACTTTTGTTTTTTAATCTCCATACCTACATGTAGACAGAGTTTACCACTGCACCACTGCATACCACTATCTATCGCATATAGGCCACATATAACTTATCCCTCTTTTAGCATCAGTCCGCGACAAATTTCATCGTTTTTCGCTTAGTCACCTTTCTTCAGATGTACCTGGATGAAGACGAAGATGATGGTCGTGATGGCACATCGCATACGCGTCCTGGCAGCGTGAACGATCACAGTGTAAGTATCGTATAGTGTTGTCGATTTTCTTGTGTTACCGCTTTGTGGTGTCATACAACTTTTCATTGAACGGACTTCACTAATATTTAGTATATACCTAACAAAACGCTTGACCATTTTTGCAACCACATGTGAGAAGTGACAACCATTCCCGTTTTTGCCTTCATTTTCTTTTGTTTAGAGTTTTTTTTAGTTTTCCACTATCGGCAGTGGATCATTCACTCCGCAGTCTTTACCCGATTGGCGCACATCAACTAGACTTGAGGAACCAGCACCACCATTTTGTCAGTTTCTTAGCTCCTCTATAGTCCACCCGTCATTGCGTTTATATCTATAGACTCTTTCTTCAGCGAGTGCTCAGACGCATGAGTGGGCTACATTTGGAGATGATTGGAATAGCGCTACTGAGAAGAAGCCACCACCTGCAAGACCGCCTCCGCCGAAGGTCCTTTGCAATCTGCTTTTTAGTTGGATATAGATCATCCGTTTCAGACTACCACAAGCATGTCACCATCGGAGATGGTTTCTGTTACGGAAATGTTTGGCATGGCCGAGAAGCAAGTATGAGATCGAATCACATGGATTCCTTTTTCGTATCTGTAAAATCCTAGAACGCTCCTGTGATCAGCGCAAATGTCGCCAACTCGAATCTAAATCAGGATGAGAAGCGAGCCAAAGTCCTTGAAGAGCTTATAAATACAGAGCTGCAGTTCATCACGGATATAAATGCATACACCGAGGTGAGTCAAAGTTCGACAAATTTTCTTACATATCTACTTTCGCGATTCTCTTAGGCAGTGGACGGAAGTACAAGGCTCTCCACCAAACAGAAAGTTATCATGAAAAATGGATGTGCTCAAGTTGTGGAACTCGCACGTGCATTGGTACAAGGGCTTACCAATGAACAGAGTAAGTTTTGTTTTACCTTTGAGATTTTACTGGTTTTTTTGTTTGAGCTTTCATTGCTTTTAAAAGCATCGTTTCTCACCCTATCTTTTTGGAAAACTGCTTGGCGATTTTTTTATCTTCTACGTCTCATGCTATCATGCATGGACATGATAGATATTTATGCTTGTTATCTTATTCAGCTTCTTTGTCTTTCAGTGAAGCCAACCGAACAACAAATGATTGGCGAGTGTTTCCTACGACTCCGAAAATCGTTTGGTAACACTTATGGTTATTATTTTCGCAATATCGACCATATTAATTCCTTACTGATGGCATCGGTGAGCCATATCACCTTGACATTTTCTACCTTCTTCTTGTTGTATTGGATTACGTTTGTAGAAAATTCTGTTTTGTAGAAGACTGATCCAAAGATAGAGACAGCACTTCGCGAGTTGGTAGTGAGAATGCGTGCTAGTGGTGCCGGAGTTTTCGATGCCTCCACTGCTGTTAGCCGCCCGGTACAACGATGTGTCAAATACCCACTATTCCTGAGTGAAATCGCAAAGGTGAGTTGTTAGGTCATTGTATACCATTAACTCATTTCATACCTTCTATGAGAACACCACACTTGTTGTAAAGGCGCATTCTTGTGGCGGTTCTGTTTTGTCCGATTGAAACTTCAGAGATCAATGCACTGTTTGTCGCTCTGTATATGATAAGCTTTCGTATTATTTTTTACCCACGATCAGTTTTTCTAGTAATGAATTTTTTCTGTTCTAGTATACTTCCATTACCCATCCTGATCACCCTAAGCTGCTTGAAGCGGTCAAGCAACTATCGCACCTTGGATCGAAAATGAATGAGAGCAAGCGAAGGAAAGAGCTGAGTAAGCGTTTGACTCCACGGTTTCATTTCTGATGCCTATTACCTTTTCTTAGCCCGAAAATATACCGAAGAGCAATCCACTACATCTCTTGGGGACAAACTGTCAAAACTCACTGTCCATTCACTGAAGAAGAAGACCAATCGTTTCACATATCGTATGGGGTCATCGCTTGGTGTACTCAAAGTGGTCAGCTCGTACAAAGATTCCCTTTTGAATTCGTATATGTTTACTGGTTTTTTAGACTAGAGATGCAGATTTTGACCGCCTTGTTTGTGAATTAGATCAAGCAGAAAGAAGACTCGTACGGTTCAATTACATGCTCGTAATCTACAGGAAGAAGATGTTCTATGAAACACGACAACTCATTCAAAAACGATTAATAGAGCCGCGTTAGTTTTTCTCTTTTACTTTTCTGATTGTCATCATAGTTTCTTACAGGTAGAAGAGAAATACCGGGTGTAAGTGCTGATGCTCAAACGTTTCCTTTCCATGAAATGATCAAGGACTTAGCGGTCGATCTTAACAGCAAGTCCGTCTTTCTCCATCACCTTTTAGCGAATCGTGTGCTTCTTGACTACTTCAAACCATATTTGCTTACAGAGTTAGAGACGAGATAGTGAAAGCCCTGCGTGCCATACCTAAGAAACTAATCCGAAAAAGAAATGATAAGCTTTTAGACTACGAGGCTGCAAAGTCTAGTAACAAAGTGGTGAGATTGCTTGCTTGCTATGCGGGTTCAAAAATAAATGTGCATTCACTCCAGAAATCAGACTTCATGTCGAAATTCAAAGACTTTGAAGCTCTGAATAATCAAGTGAAGCAGACCTTGCCGAAAGTCATTGACGTGTTGAACACAGTAAGTGCTATATTTTTTACCTTATATTTCTTGTGGTTAGTTGATGCTGGTTTCATCTTACATCAGGTCTTACGAGATGCAATGAAAACCGTTGATGATTTGGACAGCAGGCTGATCTCGAATATTCGTAATAAATTTCAAGAGGAAATCACCGCGTATCAGAATGATCCGCTGGCGAGCTCGGTGAGAACTTTTGTTTCAAAATTAGTCGTCAAATTTTGATTCCGATTGTTGTCTGATTTAGTCACGTCTAATTGTACCTGGAATGAGCTGCTTTGCGAACTACTACGATCCAGACAGATTGAAGCCACTTCATAATATCGTGAACAAGGTTATTTCTTGATAAGTTTCTATGTCTTTTGGTGTTGACTTGTATGTTGCAGGCATCGAGATTTGTTCGATTGAATAGCACGAGTCTCCCTCCTAGTACCCAAAAAAGTGAGTTTTAGCTCTTGTTACATAGCCGTTTTACATATAATGCCTGTAAGCTCAATTTTATGTTTTGCAGGTGAGGACATTGGAGGAGTGAAGACCGGTAAGACCGGTAGTATACCTTTCTACTTCCTACCTGCTTTTCAAATAAAGCGCTATTTGTTGGTTTGTTGCAGATGACTGGAAAGCCCCCAATGTTGAGAATCTATCCTCTACCCAAAATGCAGCAGTCAAAGCGCTTGCTGAGAAAAAGGCATTTCGCGCTCAGACAGAGGAAGAGCGCTCTCAAATCCTTGTGAAAGCTGATTTGAAGTGAGGGAGTTGTTATTTTATGAACATACTCATCCAGCGCCTATTAGGAATCGCCGAGCAGACATTTATCGATGTATGTCGGAATGGCCAACTTCACAGGAAGCTCTGGAACTCAATAAGTCTAGTGGGAAGATGCTAATCGTGAATGCTGGAGATGCTGTGTTAGCTGTGAGGAAGGACCCATGCAATATGTGGTTCGTTCTTGATAGCGTAATTCACAAAAATTGTCTACTAAGCTCTCATTCATCGATATGGGTGAACAAAATTCCTATGTGCTGCTTTGAAAATCAGTAGAAACTCTCAAGTCGTCTTGGTCTCATTCTGTCGATGATTACAAATTTTTAAACGGAATGCGCAATTTATTTCAGGCTGTGCTACAATGGCTACTATAATGCGTTATTACCGAGCACGATTCTGACGCCTTGGTATGGTCCAGGTGGTACGGGAGGTCTCGAAATTGGTAATCGAATAGAATCTCTACGCACTATCAACGTTTTTGTCTTCCATAGGTATCGACGCTATCACCTTGTCCAGTAACAAGATCAGTTCCATGATGAATCGGCCGCATAGTACTCCACCGAAACAACAAACCACCAATTTGATAGGTATGTGAGCTGCTGACTACGTAAATATTTCTAACGATTAAATAATCATAGTGGGTTTGCATGAATGGGAGGTTCGTTTGTGGTTTGGGCAATCATACACGATTTTGCATTCAGCTTCTTTTCGCCGCTGATATAAATTTTTTTTTGAACCCAAGAGATTGTTTGAATGAACTATTATGAAAGAGTTTAGTAGTTGCACACTATTGCATTCATGTAGATCAATTTATTAGACTTTCGCTACCCATTCTATGGTGGAGAACTAAGGTCAGCTGTTTTCCATCTGAACCTCAAAAAAAAAATCGGATTTTTGTTCACTGATGCTCACTGCTAATCCTGATATCCTCTCCTGAATCCATTTCCTCTTGACATGAGGCAGCATTTACGTGCATTTTCAGCATCGATAATTGCTAGTGATTGTATTTGAGATTTTCCTTTTTTTAGATTTGGAGGATGAGCTCATCGTTCCTGCTTCTTCTGGTCAGCCACTGCTATCTCTTGCCCCATTAACACCTACACCAGTTGGTGCAGCTGCTTCCATGTCTTCACTGGAACCTGAGCTGCCCCCTATAGATTGGGGTGCGGGCAGTAAAACTCAACCACCAACTGCACGAGCCCCATCACTGCCGAATCTTGCCACTGAGACATCGCCAGCGTTTCCGGTCACATTCGAAGAGAACGATGGTGATTTTCTTAATCTGTTATTATTGCATGGATTTTTCAACAATATTCTGTAGCATTTAACACTGGACCTACGCAACTTCCACCAGCGCCATCCCGATTCTATCAAAATACTCCTGTTGCGCCATCTACCAGTAATGAGCAAGATGTATTCACGGTGATGTGGGAGCAGATAAAGAATGTTCCTCTGAGCAACATCACCCAAAGGTTCTTCTGAATCATGAATTATACTACTATTTAAACTGCAAGAATATGATCTAGGAGTGAATCACCTCAACCCCTTATTCCTACTCGACCAACACAGGAAATAAGTGTGACCCCGAAACCATCGACTTCATCTCCAATGCCAGCACCAAATCAGGAACAATATGCAGGTACCTTTAAGCCGCTAACTTCTGTGTTCTTCATTTTGTCACACTCTGTGTTACTTTTGTTCAGCCGCTCAGAGAAATGCACCATCTCAACCGTCGTTTGCAACTGGGCCGCCTGTCGCCACGGCACCTGCCCCGCTGTACAGTGTACCGCCACAGTACGATGTGGTGCCTGATAGCAATCCTCTTTCACCAATGCAGGCGCAGCCATCTTCATCTGGAAGTAGTAAGTTGCAAGAAACTTATCTCAAAGCAAAATTTACACCAGAGATTCATGTCACTTCTGTTTTCCATATTTTGGTATTTTTTACTACCCCAATTTCACGCGTGTAAGACGCACATTTTTCGGTTTTTCATCGTGCCGGCTGCCGGCTCGCTCAGTTGTGTTTCGGAAAACGAGACTTATGCCGTACGATACTCTCAGGCAATTTGCAGCAGTGTAAATAGTTTTTTGGTCGCGAAGTCGTTCAGAGTGTCTGGGCTGTTTGATTTTAGAAAAAAAAACCCCTCGTCCTATACTCGTGAAATTAGAGTAATGGAGTTGTCATAACGATCCAGCCATTTTCCCGCTACGGAAGAAAACTAAATGATACCATCTACTCAGATGTATCTAGCAGATATGAAGTTGAGCAATCGGAAGAATGAGTCGGCGATGGATAGGCCTTCTAGTCTTGTGATTGCACGTGGAATCCGCGTAGTTTTGAAGGCAGCGCAGTCTAAATGCGAATGCCTTTTTTGTGTTCATCCGGTATTTGTTGATTTACCGCATACCGAGATCATTTTTTCTCGTAGAACAACGAATATGAGAAAATTGCTTTCTGTATCACATTACAAACTGATCAAACTTCTATTTATTCTCCTATGTTTCTGCGAATAGGGGAACGATTTTCGCCTTTTGAACTGCCGCCGCTGACTGCTGGTTCTCACGCAAGATGAAGGCTGCGTTCATACTGATCCGGAATTTCGGGGGCAGTTCCAGCACAGCGTTTGCACTGAGCGCTGTGCTAGAACTGTTTCCGAAATTCCGGATCAGTATGAGCGCAGCCAAACAGCATCGTGTCGTCGGCGGAGGCGGAGGCTTTTCTCCTATGGATACATACAGTGAATACATCGAAAAGCAATTTCGAATCCCTTATAGTCTTCTTGAAAGTCTGCAAAAGAAGATGGGACGACTTATTCTCGTATGATCTATCTGCCTTTCTCTGCAAAGTGATCATAAAATAAGCACAAAACGGAGGTGCTTCTAAATAACGAGCACTTCGATAGAAAAAAAGAGACCAATTTGTCCTTATCAGTGCCGTTTTATCTAGTTAATGCATTGCATTTTCATAATTTATCATTATTTACCTTCAATTTCAGGCACACAGAGATCCACAATTTCTCAGTCCACGTTTGCCACTGGACCTCCTGCCGCCACCTCCCCATCTGCTCCGTTATACAGCGTGCCACCACAGTACGATGTGGTACCTGGCAATTCGCTTTCATCAGCACAGGCACAACCATCCTCATCTGGAAGTAAGTACTGCAACGATAGTTTATTACAGGCTATCTCGGAAGCAGCTTATTGCAGCTGCTAGCTTCATTGGGATGCGCGTGTTCCTCACAGAGCGCATGCTTCTCAAATGCGGTGTTTTTCGAGCTCGGCGAATTCTTTACTAGCGGATTCTCTAATATTCTCTATTTTTCACTTTTTGGGCCTGTCCGTTGCGCTAAGACTGAGAATGAATTCTGAAAAGTGCAAAAAAGGCAAGTATGAATCTACGATGCCCTCGGAGGAGAGGAGAATAGCTTTCCATGCTAGGCTTTCGGGGCTAGTGGCTTGTCATGGAAGGATGGAGCTCCTATTTTGGGGGAGACCTTCTCTTCCGCTACTGTAATATCCTGGCAGTGGCGGACCGAGAGGGGGGGGGGGAAATGGGTCGCAAAAATTTTGAAAGTTATTTACATGAGTCATTGCGCAAGTGACTTGTTTTTACTTATAGATAATTGATATTTTTGGAATTTTTTATTGAAGACTTTTTTGGGGTGTGCCTGTCGCCACGCCTTTTTCTCCAAAATTTCGGAGTTGTGTGTAAAAGTTTCGGTAAGTACCCCAAAAACCTTTCGGAGTGCATGGCTACCACGCACCTTCACTCAAATAAATGTCGCTCTCCCCCCCCCCCTCCTCTCTCGAAGAAATTTCTTGGACCATCACTGTGTCCCAGGTATATCCGGCTCGGTAAACCACACTTCCTTCGAGGAATGTTGGTGGTCGCTATCGTACTTTTACGTCCTTAGAGTAAATCGTGCAAACATCATCTAAGTTCTCTAGGCCATTCACATGGTAGCCATGACGATAAATGGAGGTCGTGCGACCGTAAACGTGAGAAGGGTAATTGGCTGAACAAGTGCACGACAACTTGGGGGATATCGAGGTTTCTCAGTGGGAGTTTTTCGCTGATGCAATAGTGTAGAGGGTTTTGCTCAGCCAATAATTTTGACTGGAGGAGAACTGCCCTAAAATTCTACTCAGCAGGAGTGAGGCAGAATGCCAAGTTATTCACAGCATACTTGAAGCGCACGCACAGACAGAAGATGCCCCATTGACTGATTCAGAAGTGCTCTATTAGTACTTCACATTTCTTCGTCCATTTTCACGCTTTTCAGTATACCCAGTATTGTACGAAGAGCCACCAGCAGAAACGTCGATTTACCCAAACATTCCTTCCTATGATGCTCCACCAGTTGAGAATGGACGGCTTCCATCGGTACGTACTTCGGACGTAAACTTGTTAATGACTGCAAACATAAAGTCTGACCACTCACACTTTCATATCACATTGATTCTTTCCATATCAGATTTGAAGATTGCTATCATGATTCTGTTTTTGAGCTTTCAGAAAGGTTTTACTAAAAAAAATTACAGATTGGAAAAATGATTGCTCAGTTCGATTTTAAACCGGTTGGTCCGAATCAAATTCAAATAACTACAGGAGAGAATTTGGATTTGATACAGGTAAATTGTGTACGTAGTTTTACAAATAGTAGGGCTTACCTGCTGTTTAGGCACATGATGACGGCGGTAATCCAGAATGGATCTGGGTGCAGCGACTAGATGGCGAACATGGTTTCGTACCAGCTGCTTACTGTAAGGCAATGTAGTTCAATATAGTTTGAAAAAGCTTCTCCTTGGTACTATTCATTTCTTTATATGCATTATACTGTTTGTCACGCTATATCCTTGTAATACTTACTTCCTTGACTTACCTAGTTCTTGTGTTCTGCAAAATCTAGAGAATATTTATTCTCATCGTATTGATTGGAAAATGCCCCATCGTTGCCCCCTACTTATATTATAGTGGTGCTGCTCAGTGAGATTTTCCCGATGAAACAATTTACTATCCTTTTCTCTTCTGTGATATAGGTATCTGGTTAGCTCGCTAATTTTTAGTCAGATTTTACAATTTCATTGTTATTGCGCTTCTCCGGGTACATTATCTTGTCCCCATTGTCCCCGATATTGAATCTGCTTACAATCACTGCATAATTTGTAGGTTTTCTACAATTCTCAGATAGTCTTTATGGTTGCCATTGCAGTGTTAATCTCTCTCTCTTTTCTGCATGTCTTTTTTCTGTAAGCGAACTGCTTTGTACCGATTTTGTGGTGCTGTTTTATAGAGACTAAGATGGAGATGTGCATAATAATTGCTTGAGTTATACATATGAATTTTGTAATGCTTCATGTGGAATGACAGAAATACGTGAACATGCTTACAATTGATGGGAACATCTATAGAAAAGTAAAATGGCGTTCTAGAAAAAATTGAAGTGGCACGGTGGAGATGTTTTCAGTGCGTACTTTTTTATTATTCATTGAAGTGTGAAAGTGAAGCGAAACTAAGCATCATTGAGTCGTAAGAGCATGTAGAAGCACATTCATAAACTGCACTTAAATTCACATCATTGTAATTAAACACCAAAAATGCTCGAAGTCGGCATGATTATTGCGTCATTTTTTGGTGTAATCATTAGCTGGTCATGATAAAAATCATCGCGATTTTGAAGTAATCGTCTCTAGGCATATGCTTAGAAAATGCTTTGTTTTGTACATACTTTCTTCTAAATATCAGGTTACTACCTACCGTAAAGGTGATGCAACCCGCTCGAGTTGACTATAGTTTATTCATATACCAGGAGTCATTCTTTTCATGTAGCATTTCATGCTCACCAGTATCCTGAGATGGGAATTTGTACAATCAGCGTATAATTCCCTTCCAATGTCGCTATGGGAACCAACAATCGAGAGAATGTTGCAAGTAGTTGCAGTCACGCAGCTTTGGTAGATACTGGAATGCGCAGTTCTCATTTTTTCTACTTCATAATAAGTTGCTTATAAAGTTTTGCAATTTTTAACTGCTTTGAACTGATGAATCTGAAAAACATCTTATTTTAATTACTCGCCATATCATCTAGTAGGACTTTTCCACCATCTTCTTGTATGTGTCACAAATCCCACTTCATTTTGTATTATAGTTTCATGGGTTGAAAGGATACCAAAGCAAGTTTAGAATTTTTTTTACACTATCTTCCTACATCCACAGGCAAGAGGCGATTTTTTTGAAACATAGATCATTTGCTGAGGACTGTTGTTAGAAGTGCTCAAATATATCATCAAAAAATCTTGAACTAGAAGATTTCTTTCATAAAAATGACAAAACCCTTATTTGTCGCTTGAAACCTCAACAGCGGCTCGGGAAAATCGCAATTACGAGCTTTCCAGCCCTCCTTGGCCTTCTGGATGCGCTGAGTCCAGAGTTGTGCTTACACAGGTGCGATAGTGTGAGAATTTTCTCACCCTCCTTTCACCCCTGAGCTGGGACCAAGGTGATCTCCTTCACCAAAAGCCGAGAAAAAATCAACAGTGAGGTAAAGTTAAGCAAAGGAGATATTTGTACGTGAATTGTTTATGTATAGAAAAGGAGGAGTATGTTGAAAAAAGTGCTTGGTGACGGGTGTGAGTAGTGATTTCTGGACAATTTCGAATTTTTATCAGAGAAAAATTCATAACTTCTGTAGATGAACATCTTGTATGCCGAGATGGTCACCAATGGAACCGCCTCGTTTCCGCTTTGAGAAAATATATGCATTACTTGGAGTCCATTAAAGAAACTGCCTGGGTGAAGGGTGTCTAGTAATTTTTTTTGGAGATTTTCGACTTTTAACGTAAAATAATTCATAACTTCTGTAGATGAACATCTTGTACGCCGAGATGGTCACCATTGGAACCGCCTCGCCCTCCGCTTTCAGAAAATATAACTTTGCCCGGGGTCCATTAGAAAAAGTGCCGGGTGAAGGGTGGGTGAGACTTTTATGATGGGAGTGCTCAAGTAGACGTCTTTTTACAATGGTAATAAAGCCTGTACTTGAGCACTTCCATTATAAAAGTCTCACCCACCCTTCACCTGGCACTTTTCTTGACGGACCCCAGGCAAGGTATAGATTTTCTGAAAGCGGAGGACGAGGCGGTTCCATTGGTGACCAACACGGCGTACAATATGTTCATCTACAGAAGTTATGAATTATTTTATGTTAAAAACTCGAAAATCTCCAGAAATCAAGAGCACACCTTTCTCTCAGGCAGTTTTTTTTTGGATGGATCTGAGACACACTTATATCATTTTGAAACGGAGGACGACGCGATTATTCTTAAAAAGTGAAAAATACCTAACATTTTTGATTCAATGCTTTTATGCCTGAATATTGAGGAGAAAAAACCTTGCACAAAATCTACTGTTGCAGTTTTTACATACATTTTTTATCAAAAATAATTCCATCGTCATACATTTTTTGACAACAATATGAGTCTTGTTTGTTTGTTTACACATGCAGCCAAGCTTTGCTTGATTTCATATAGCTAATCCTCGTAAAGTATTAGGTTGTCTGGAAATTAATGCCCTTTTTGAATTTCATCCGCAGTAAGTCATACAACTCTCACTTCTAAATAGGATGCAGAGTACCATTCGATAGAGTAAAGCAAGCTCTATAAAAAGGCCATCTTGCTTTTGCAACAGCTCTCATCCACCTCGAGTTTCGAGCCAAAAACTAAAAAGACTCAGCAGCCCGAAAAATCGAAAAAAATTGTAACTCAGTTCACAAAAATCCTACAAAAATTCTTATTTGCTCACGTAAACACTATCCACATAAAACATCTATATACGCCTTTGCCGCATTTTTTCCTCTGTTAGAAAGCAAGAAAACGGGAATTTTCGTGCATTTGCCAAAGTCGCGTTGTGTCGTTCCCAACATACATAGTTGTATACTACAAATCTGTAGAAGTACAAACGTAAATTCCCAGCTCTCTTTAAGCTTTAGTTCTTAAGAAATTTGAATTTTAGCTTGGACTTTTAGCCACCTAAGTAAGGAGAGCTTTATTCGGTATTTCTCGAGAACTAAAGCTTGTAGAGAGCTGAAAATTTAACTCTGTACTTCTACAGGCTTGTGGTATACAACTACCTATGTGGGGACGGCACAGCATCACTTTGGCAAATGCACGAAAATTTCCGTTTACTTGATTTCTAACAGAGGAAAAAAATACGGCGAGGCGTATATAAATGTCATGAGTGGATAGTGCTTACGTGAGCGAGTAAGAATTTTTGTAGGATTTTTGTGAACTCAGTTACGATTTTTTTCGATTTTTCGGGCTGCTGAGTCTTTTTAGTTTTTGGCTCGAAACTCGAGGTGGATGAGAGCTGTTGCAAAAGCAAGATGGCCTTTTTATAGAGCTTGCTTTACTCTATCGAATGGTACTCTGCATCCTATTTAGAAGTGAGAGGTGTATGACTTATTGCGGTTGAAATTCAAAACGGGCATTAATTTCCGGACAACCTAATAGAAGAAAAATAGGTTTGAAAAGATTTTCGATTAACAACCTCGAACATGTAAGTTAGATATTCATATAATGACGGCTCACTGGTAATTTCTAGCTTATTCGTAGATTTTTTTGAGATTAGGAACAAACAAACAAGTTTTATACCAAAGGGGGTTCAAGGGAAAGGAGACAGGGGACTAAGGGGTGAGTAGGAAATAAATTTCATGGAAATTATGTTGTCAATGAATTATACTATTTTAAAGACTGCTTTTCTAGTTTCAACTCATTTAGATGAAAGTGAAACTTATATCCAAGCCAAACAAATTTTCGTATGAAGAAAAAATTGGGACCACCACTTCCCCCCTCCCCTCCCCCCTCCCCCGGTCGACATTTTATGATTTCTTGATCAAGTGAAACACCCTTCACCCAGAGGGGCTGCGATCGCTGTGACCCCCTTCACCCTGGAGGGGTCATTGCACCTTATCGCGCCTGTGGCTGGCAAGATACCGTTTTTGGCAGGAATTCTTCGCCCAACCCCTCAGCAATCTGCAAAGCCGGAAAACGTCTAAAAAGCACTTCTTTTTACTTCCTCTTACTTTTTACTTTTCAAGCACAGTCTCAGCCTCAGTCCAAAAGGCCTAGGTGCAAAAAGTCGTACTCGCAAATTTCCCGAGCCGCTGCCATTGTACTGCGAATAGTAGGTTTTCGCTTCAAAAAAAATATGTGCCTATGACATTTGATATGAGAAAACGAAAGGCTGCTTTTACTTGTCAGCATACAAGGAAAGGAAAAATTGAAAAGGGCATTTCTTGCCCCTCAGAAAAGCGAAATAAGTGGGTCCTTTCGAATTTTGTCATTAGCTATACGGTAAGAAATTATCAACCTCAATCTATTCCAAATTGAGTTGAGCTTTTTTAAAGTTACATTCTCAAAGAAAATGCGTGGCATATGGACTAGAAAACGCTCTTCAATGAATGATTGAGTACATCAAAACCGTCAGAATTTATTGACCATAACACTTTTTATTTACTCATAAATTCCAAAAGAGTTATTACGGTAATTCACGTTGAACTTTTGAAACAGTTGAAAGGAATACTTAGCTATTACTTTCCTAGTTGTTCTCTATACGCCAAAAGTCGATTTCAGAATAACTCTGCAGATTTTTTTTCTTTCTTTGATGTAATTTATGAGCTTTGCCTGCAATGGAGCCAAATGCTAGCACCATAGAACGATGTTTTTGCAGCTCCCCCGCATTGCGTTCTCGTTTCCTAGGAGTAAATACGATTGTTGGTCTGCGTTACTTAGTTGTTCTTCTTTAGAGACCTCCAGTACAGATGGAAAATCAGAAACATACCTATAGGCTGCATTATTTTGATGTTCGAGGGCGTGGAGAGCCAATTCGTCTAATACTCGAATACTATGGCGTAAAATACGATGATCATCGTATCAAAGAGGAGGACTGGCCTAATCTTAAAGAAGGTAAGATGAATTCATTTACTGGACTAACTAGACTGTTAGGGAGTCATCAATCATATGTCATGCTTCCCCTTTGATATTTAGAGCTTATTCTCTTAAAATCCATATTTTATAATCCTCAAAGTAATCCTTATTTTGATGCGACAGCTAGACATAAGAGAATTTTGATGGCCATTTGAATAATATATATTCTAAGCCATGTTTCTCAAAGTTGTATGATTTCTTTCTTTAATCCACTTGGAAGCTCGTGAATAATACCTATACAATTAGTATTCTAATAAATATGGTATTAATTGAAAATATTTTCCAAATATCGAAATCCTATCGAATGGTGTTGGTTGCATCGCACTTATATAGACATCCACTTTTAGGGTAAATTAGCATTTTCATATATTAGGTTGAACCGAAAGTTGTCGTTTTTTTCAAAAATTTGTGACTTCGCGATTTTAACGGCTTTGCTTGCTTGTAATTTTATTAGAAAAATTAGGTCTTTCGCTTTCAAATACTGTTTTGTGGACTTCTGTTTCACACTGAGTGCAGAGATAAAAATGGAAAACTAAGACCATGTAAACTTTGACCATTTTAAGTTAGGTCACCAAAAATCTGGAATACTGCAGAAAAATCTGAAATCGTCAATACATATGTTTTTTGGCCTACTCTTTGCAATTGTGAAAGAATTGTGCTGTTTGGACGTCTCTGTGAGAAGGTATGAATATCGAGTTTACTATGGAAAACGCCAAAATTAACTAATTTGTCAATTTTCGCGAAAATCATAACTTCTCACAGAGACGTCCAAACAGCACAAACTCTTCACAATTGCAAAGAGTAGGCCAAAAAACATATGTACTGACGATTTCAGATTTTTTTGCAGCGTTCCAGATATTTGGTGACCTAAGTTAAAATGACTAAAGTTTATATGGTCTTCTTTTTACATTTTTATCTCTGCAGTCAGTGTGTAATGGAAGCTTAGAAAAAAAAGTTTTCGAAAGCGGAAGACCTACTCCTTCTAATAAAATTAAAAGCAAGCAAATTCGTTGAGATCTCGCGAAGTTACAAATTTTCGAAAATGAAACGACAGAACTTTCGGTTCAACCTAATATTTTAATATTTCGCCGGACCAAATAAAAAGCGTGCTCGAGTTCTTCCAGAGAATCGCACGTAACCAAAACAAATTCTCACTAACTTAATATTCTTCCTATGATTATTCAGATGCTCCACTGCGAAAGTTGCCTTGGTTAGAGGTGGACGACGGAAAGCTCAAAATTTCTCAGACATCTGCCATCTGTCGATACCTCGCTAAATCGTTGAACGCAAATGACTGTAAGTGATAAAATTCACATGATACACTTTCAGTAGGATGAAAAAGTGAAGATTTATAGCACTAAAGCTCCTAAAATATTGACTGAGGTTTTTTAGAAACATACGACTCGTTGTAGAGTAATGAAGTAATATGTGGGAGTTCTCGTCTTCCTTTCCAGAAAAAAGTGTGGCGATGAGCAACAAATGCTCAAACTATGTAAAGAATTTTTACTTGAGAAAAAAGTCCCAAACAGTCTTTTTGTTTGTCCCTTGGAATCTAGTCAATCACACTGCTTAGCTGTCAAAATACCAGATTTTTACACAAACAGTATCAGTATTTTTACACAAACAGTTCTGTATAAATTCGCCGTTTGATTTTCCATAGCAAGTTTTTTCGAGAGATCCGTTTTTGACTTTGATTCTATTTAATTTGTTTTCTCATTAAGCTTGAAGTACTACTCAATAAAGGAAAGCCAGTTTTATAAGATAGCCTTCAAATATCGCATATAGTTATTACGTGCAAATGCTCGTGTTATATACGCAATGGCTGTAACTTTGTGGCCAAAGACCGAGAAAACGAAAACAGGCTAGCTTCAGATTATTAGGCATTATTGAGTTCTTCTGATAGTTGGTAGCTTCCGACTCGGAAGTTCCGAGAGAATAGCATAAACAAACCCGAATGAGGCAGCATCGTTGTCTTTCCAGCGTATTTTTGATTCTTGATCTTAACCGTTATGAAGTGAAATAACTGTTTATATGAATGCATTTGAACAATATTCGCTCGGGCAAGTGAGAGGTTTGTAGAATTGTGGCTCGGTGGCGGCGTGGCAGGAGTTCCCAAAGCCTCGCCGACTTTCCTTGCAGGAGTGATTAGCACCCTCAGAGAAACCTGGAAGGAACATCAAATCTTCACAGGTCGAGGAAACGGCTCCGCCTTTTTCTCCGCCTTCTAAGTGCGCTCATTCTAGATTGTGCAAGCGCGGTGGGATCTTTGTATTTATAAAAAGTGAGGACTTAAATCAAGCTGATTCAATAAATTTCGTTAATTGAATTCAATTCTTTCAAACATTAGAAACAGCGAATGAGTGCAGATAAATTTCCAAATGCTGGTTACCAGTGTTAGTTATGTCTTAACACGTTGATGACCGTGTGCATCCGCGCGTATGCACGCCCTGACCACCTTGTAGCACTTTCGTGCATCAATTTACCATGTGTAAACGAAAAGTTCTGAGGTAACTTCTATGCAGTGATAACACTGGTGGCCTGGTTGTCATATAGAACACACGGCATTGCGGTAGCTGTTAAAGCCCTAGATCATCAGTCCATTTTGAGGTGGTCAAAAATGGCTCGGTCGTCAAGTGTTAAAGAAAACTAAAGCAACACTTTCTTCGCCATCTTTACATGCTCCCTTAGAACTCTTTTGTTATGCTATGCTATAGATGATTACCTTGTGTCAAGTGCTTGAATCTCCACACAAAAGAACGTGTCTAAGAAGCGTCCAAGTACAAACATCCAAGCATATGAACAGCATATTAGAGTAAAGGAAACCGAAAACTTGTTACAAAGTAATTCTTTTTGATGTCGAGTCCAGGAAAAGTGGATTTCTAGCCTTCGATAAGTACAGTTATTTGGGAAGTCGAACGCTGAATGCCCTAAGCCAGCATCTAAATTGGCCACCTAATATGTAAACGAAATCTTCTGGTAGTATGACCGATTTTCTTCAAGAAAATGCGCAAGTGATCGATTTTCATTTATATATCTGAGCAACCGATTTTTCATTCCAAACAATCAAATATTCAAATCGAATCTGAACTGGTAACCGCCAATTTGAAAAAAAACTGGGCTGAAAAAACCGCTGCATACATACTAGAGTTTTGATACTTACTAAGTTTTGATACTTACTTGAATAAAGCGTATTTATTACTGAAGGTCGTAATCAGTGAAAATCACATGCTCATAGCTATTTCCATATAGTTCAACTATGAAATGACAGCTACTTATTTTTTTTTCCAATTTTTTCTTTCTCAATACTTCATTTTCTGATTCTCTGTTCTTTCCACTTGCTCACCTCACAATGAGTTAATGGGTGGAGCAATGGGCGGCCCCTGACCTCTGAGATGCGGAGGTGCTAGAACCCTCCTGGGTGCGATTGATGGTGCGAACTTGGTGCGAGGAAAGGTGCTAGGAACTCCTGCACGCCCTCCTGGCTCGGTGAGATCCTCTGGCGCAGTTCTGAAGATTTTGGCTTCAAACTTTGCATAAAACTTCACGCCACTGCTAAATTACCCTAAAATCCGGCATATAAGTCCGGACTTATTTGCGGGACTCTTGGCGTTTGCATTTTCATTTTCGTGCATTTTCATCGACCTTCGAAGCGGACTTATCTGATGGAGACTTATCTGATAGGAGAACTTATATGCCGGATTTTAGGGTAAATGTGATCGAACCTTTACGGAAAGAGATAAGACCCAGCAAAGTTGATATTTGCTTTACAGTAACAACGCATGGACTTTGTTACTCTCTATGCCCACAAAAGCAGATCATCTTTCAGATTTCGGCGGAGCAACAAAGTCAGATTCGGCCAAATGTGATATGTACGCGGATGCATTCATGGACTTCTTCACCCTTGCAGTAGAACGAGTTTTTGAGCATGATCCCGACCTGAAGGTACTCATTAGGAAGCGATACTACCCTAAAATCCTTACAATAAGTCCGCCTATCAGATAAGTCCGCCTATCAGATTAGTCCGCAGAAGAACTAACAGTTAAGTCCGCTTTCTTGACAACGAAAGTCGCCCTCGCGCCGCCAAGAGTCCTGCAGATAAGTCCGCTTTCTCATGCTCAGGATAGGCGCTGCGGACTTATCTGATAGAGGATTTAGGAGGACTTATCTGGTAGACTTTTGGCGGCGCAGAGGGCGTTTTTTCATCGATTTTTCGCGTCGAAACTGCAGATAAGTCCGGATTTATTGTACGGATTTTAGGGTAATTTAGCCTGGCCGTTGAGTGTGGAACATATACAGCAGCCGCCAAAGTGTAGCAATCGTATATTTCAAAATTCACAATGTAGAGTAAAAAATCATCCGTAAAAGTGGCTAGGGAGCTCATTAAAGGCTGTAATCCCAACCTGCCGCTTTCCACAGAGCTTCAATCAAAGTTTCGGAACTGAAAATGGATTTCCAAAATTGTTCCAGAAAGGTTGCGTGAAAATCAAGCCAACGCTATTTTCAGAATTTCTTTTCCAGCCTTAGTTCTAAAGCCCGCTTGACCTCGGCCATAGTACATTTCACATTGCCTCGCGATTCTCCAACAAGACAACTGCTACGATTCCATTGCATGCCGATCCTCCCGCGTCTCGGTCTTGGTAGTTTTCTAAAACGACTAATTGTAACTAGCTATCATCACCAAAATGCAGGATGATCGACATCCAATGGACTCGTAACAGTTGTCTTGCCGGAGGAATCGCGAGGCGACAACATCGCCTTGACTATGCCCGGGTCATATCAAGGGAAGCATCTGCCATTGTGACTATTTCGATTGTTACAAACGAATGTAACATATTTAATTTTTTAGCGCGTGTTTTACATCGCATACGATATTATTCGCATCTAAAAGGCTACTTAGAGAATATCGTCAATTGAGACGGAGAGCCACTGTCCTTAAAGACATGTGCTCATGTGTTTGCAGCAAAGGTGCAGTTAGTCTACAGTCAATGGAACTCTGATTCTTTGAAAAGCAGCTTGCACCTCAAGAATTTGCTGGAAAATTTCTTAAATGAAAACCAGATGAGAATTCTCTCGAGAAGACTTATTTCCAAGCAAGTTTGTGGAATGCAAATCTGGGATACCAATTCAGCAGGCGTAGAGGCAGAATTTCAACTCGTTTACGATGACTTTCATATTTTTTTGTCAATTAGAATGCTCTGTTTTTGTCATGCAAACATCCTCAAACATAAGGATATCCAGTTTGAAAGGATTCACGAAGAAGTTTCCGGTTCCAAGACTCCAAGTCGAGCTAAAAAGCGCATGATCAGTTTGAGGCGTCTTCATCTAACAGTTAGGAATGAGTCTATTCGAAACTTATTGGGTACTAGTAGTGTGGCTAGGAAGGGAATTGCACATCAAATTACTAATAACACTCACTGAAGCTATCATCGGCACATCTTCTATAGTCATTTGGAACCGATGCAAGCTTCCGCTTTATCCAAGTAATTTCACTAGAACATGCTATTCATCTACGCACCGTTGAGAGATGCTTCTTCTAAAGAAAACGAGGAGCAAATTTATACAAAACAGATCATTCTCAAATCACTTTTTTGAGAAGAGCTTTTGGCGAATAACCTTGTTAAGCAGGATGCTCACGTGTTCTGATTTTTGTGATATCAGGAGAATTGGTAAAGGTTACCTGTTACTGGCTCTAGCGCTTCTATTTTCATAAAAAATCAGCACTATATTGGCTGAAACTGTGAATATTTGAGATCCTGGAACTGACATGAGTTCAAACATTTTCCTCAGCTGCGTGGCGTGTTTCGACAAGCCCTTCTCTCTCTGAGATTTCTTGTACTTTCTTCAGAATTGAGTTTTTACGCAAGACTCTGATGAAGCTTCAAATTAATCTTTGTTTTGATACCTTTTTGTGTCTCTGGCGAAGTAAAATTGAGCTCAAAATAACTAACCGTTGAGGTATCACATAACGCTCTCAGTAAACGCCCTTCGAGCAGTCGAAAAAACAAAACAAAGTAGACCTCAGGTAGAAGGACTTGGGCCCTTAGAGACGTGCCAATGAAGCAGCATCAACGTCTAGACTGGCAAGCGCAGGTAAAAGAAAGGGAAACACTCAAAATCTTGCGCTTCGAAGCTAGAAAGAGTGGATTCGAACTCAGCACTTCAAAATGATTTTATATGTATAGGAACACTTGCGCTTGGACATTGCTGCATTCGTAATGCCCCCGATTATCGCAGTGAAGCGGCCGTAAAATGCAACACATATTCGAATTTTGTGAGCCGTCACACTTTCACTTCATACACAAATGTTTTTCGTAAATGTCGGGACGCAGGGACAGTGTGGGAGCCAGATCTACTAGCCTATCTGTTCCGTACAAATTTTGAACCTCTCCTTTTGACTTTCAAAGGCTCGATTGCCACATAACAGTCAACGCTTTAGGCCAAGAAAGATGAAGATTTTGAAAAGCGATATCCGGATCATTTGAAAGTGCTTGAAGAACATCTTAAAGAAAATGGCGGACAATGTTTCGTAGGCAAAAAGGTCAGTCTATGATTGTTTGCGTAGAAAACATTGCAAATTCTTCATCGACTTTAGATCTTATGGTGCGATCTCGTGGCTGTGACCGTACTGTCTATGGCAGAGGAAGCTAAAACGGAACTTCTGCAGAATTTCCCTGACCTCCAAAGCTATTACAAATCCATGCGAAATCTGCCCGAAATCAAAGATTACATAGAAAATAACTGGCCTCCTTCGGCGACAGACTGAGTTTATTTAATTAGCATCGTACCGTGATGTGGTGTAATTTGTACAACAATAAATATTTCAAACCGACCCAGCGAAACACTGATACTTGGAGACATCGTTACACACAGTGAAGATGACGATGGCCAAAAGTTTTCGAAAATCTCGTCAGGGGGAAAACGTATGCGCTAGAGCTCCAGATGAGAGAGCATTTACTACCAAATAGAAAAAAAAAACAGTGCCCTTCGTCAGCATTAGATGTAGTATGTGAGAAAGGATGAAAACCCGCAAAAGCAGCGCCCAGGGCCACCACAGCTAATGTGTCGTCAAGTCATTTGTAATCTCTCCTAGTATATAAAAAGCAGAAAATTTGTATGTTTGTGCACATTTCCCATAGTCACGAAGGATGAGCGGTGAAGCTGATTTTGATGTGTTGGTCATCAAGAAATGGTAAGGACGGTAGGATACGAACCCAGGACGAGACGGAATCAAAAGAGGGATAACTTTTGCTGCATGAGAGGTCAAGCACAATGGACTGGCTTCAAACCGGGGTGGAACCCGGGATGCCAGATCTTTTAATATATGCACACCACACTTGATGAATTATAAGGTTGAAACTGGTTTATATCCAGTGATCCTCTCGTTTTTTTTGCTCCTTTTGTTATTATTGGATACTAGCTGGCTATTTGGCTCCGCCTAGAGCTGTCAAAACATTACGAGAGATATCCCCCAGGGCCCGGCGCAGACCGTATGGAAGCAGGCTGGACTTCGTTCTTACGGCCATGTTTTTTCAGTCGACCATCTTTTTTTGAAGGTCTTTTGCGTTTAGGACTGACCATGAGAGTCAAAGGGGACTTTGTAAAATATCAGGAAAGTCAAAAGGGACTTCGTTTTCAAGAAGCCTAGAAACGAACTAATGCCTGGTCCTGTCTCCCCCCCCCCCCCCCATCTCTGTACAGCACACAGGGGCACAAGTAGGTTTCTAGGGTTTGGAAAACGAAGTCCTCCTAGACTTTCGGATGTTTTACGAAGTCCCATTTGACCTATCTACTTAGGAGAAGATGAAAACAAGAAAGATTTACTAATCTGAAAGAAAAAGCGTGAGATAAGAGTGAAAATCCAAATTGGAGCTGAATACTACGCATGCACAGACTTTGGCATGAGAGGGCGATATTTAACAAAGCGAGAAGAAATGAAGGGAAAAAGCAAAGGAGAAGTAATGATATGAAAATGTCTTCACGCTCAGAAATAAATTTTTGACCGGGGAATCCGTCCATGCTAAAAAAATCCGAAACTTATGTGAAGTGACGAAAATACATACTCCAGACGATCCCAGATCGTCTGATGGCCGCCTGGAGACGATCTAATTTTGGAAAAGGTATTATTACTTCACATAAGTTTTCAAACCTTTTCACATAATCCATTCTCAAATAATTTTCTATATATACAGTCCAATTTTTGTGCCATATGATTCTGTGTACGCCATAAACAAGCATTTTTTCTATTTCAACCCTGATCTCAAATCGCGCGCACTTTTCGCCATGCACGAAAGAGCATGTCAATCGTGTGATAACCTTTCGAAACTTGTAATGGACTAAACGGCGCTTATTCTTGGTGCTCGGCCTCGATTTGTCAAAAACGATATCTCCTTTGCGTTTTGCTACAAAAACGAAGTCCACCTGCTTCCAGACGATCTGTGCCGGGCCCTGACAACACCTCCCGCTTCTTTTTTACTATGGAATGTGCTTTGCTCCTTATCACTGTGTGATTCTACACTTTGAGAAAATGTGATCAACACGTGCGGCGGACAAGCTTACTTGTTCTGAAGCGTGCTAAATCATTTGATTCATGTGTGAGAGGTCTGCCACATGATATTAGGGTGATCCAAAAGTAATGGGGCACCCTGATTTTTTAAATATTCTTTAAGATCTCTTTCTGATTAGCTATGAACAACCAGCAATCTGAGCGCTTTTGTACAAAGCGATCTTCGTAGATTATCTTGACAGCACCTTGTAGCACCTCACCGGCATTCCTTCTAACGACGCTTCAAAGAAGTCAAACAGATTTTTTTGAAAGCCATCCGAATTTGTGCTGCTGAACCTGAAAGTCCCTCGACATATGGCATACCATTCGAAAGAGCTTTCCAAGCTCTTTCCAAAGATTACTTGAATATTCATAAATTGCCCATTATTTCATACAAAAAGGCACTTTATTCGAAAAAGTGCGGTCTTTGGCGCAGATTTTCAGACTAAAATTCGTATTTTGACCCACTTTTTGAAAATGAGAAAAGTTGAAGTAATTTTCATACGTATGGATAGGGCGTAGAAAGCGCTATCAGAGAGCATCTGTTAAGTTTGAGCTTATTTGATTAACTTGATGAAAGAATTAGTGATATATCTCCTGATACCCAATGCTATATCTTCTGTTCTAAAGCCTTGAGACCACCGAGCTATCGTGGAATTTGGTGATAGTCCCCCCACCCATTGCTACGCAGATTTCTTCGGTAGTCTCACTTGTTTTACTGCGGCACTGCTGCCCAAAGTTCAAAATTACTTGAAATGATGAGCGCCACGTCACAGTGCCCAACTATAGACCTCGATCAGAAGGTTTTGTTATGTACTACATCTGCCAAAACTTGGACTTCTAATCAACTTTTCTGTTTGAGAAAACTGCATTTATTCTCTAGGTGCCCCATTACTTTTGGATCACCCTAATATTTACTGTCGATAACAGTGTACACAGGCGTACATATATCACCAACATACATTACCCAGCTACCAGTAACTAAATCCATATATACTTCTATTTATATTCGTATGTATCTTATAAGCACATATTATAGTAGTTCTATTATTATTTACATAAACTATGTTATTACCTGTGATCTACATACAATGCTCTAAAATATTCACTATACAAACTGATATTCTGCACACTGTAAATACAAGATACGCTTCCCTTCCGCTTCATGTACTTCATGTACCTTCTAGAATGGTTCCATCCTTGGGGTATGCGCTTCCTACACACTCTGTGTGCATCCAGCCTTCTCACTCTGGGCACTGTAATCAGTTTATTGTTGTGCTTTGCGAGTTCGAGGGCTGCATACGAAGGGTAGCACATATTCCTCTCATCTGGTGCGCAGTCAGGTATATCGAGAGTTTTTGAGCGTTTTGCTTCCTCGCACCGCAAGTGGGATCGCTGAAACGACTTGTTCGGTATAGAACCATCATATATTAGGTTGTCCCGAAAATCTTGTCCGTTTTTTTCATCGATCACTAAAACTCATAGAACACCAATCCATGGGCGAAATAGATACCATTTGTTCAAATTTTTAACCTCTTTTACAGCTATATCTGACCTCTGATTTACTCTGTCTTTGCAATGTTATCGCCATGGCTTCCTGAGCGGCTCAGCACTAACGCCAAATCTTTCCTATTTTCAAAGAGCGCTGGTTAATGTTATATACAGCAAACCCTTGGCTATATTGCACCCATTTTAATTTATATGTGCCACGTTTACCAAGTCCGTTATAATTATTTACTCAATAAAAACCCTGCTTTTTGATTACTTCACCACGTAAAAATACAGAAATTTCCAAAAAGCAGCTTTTTCAAAGCAAATCAAACTTGCTTATGTTGCATTAATAATGCTTAATAGGAATCATGTTTCAATTCGCAGAAACTTCAAAAGCTTCCGTGTATTTGCTGCAGTTGCCTGTTTCATGACTTTGCCAAAAATCGAAACTTCTGAAGAAAGTTTTTTGAAGCTACAGACAGCATATTAGGAGAATTTGAAAATATCGCCTGGTAGTCCGAAAATTGTTCAATTTGCCATACTTAATCCTTTCCGAAACTTTGTAATGAAATTTTCAAAGATTAGCCTAACTTCGAGCAGATCGAATTGAAGGGTGGAGAATCTGGCAATTATCAAAAAAGCATACAAGATTGTGGTTCGAAAATGTAACACATAAGAGAATGTTGAAAGTCATTCGAACTTTATTGATGGTGTTAGTGTTTTGAAAAAACGGACAAAACTTTCGGGACAACCTACTATAAATATCATCTAATTCTACTTTATGACGCTTTCGGATGTGTGTGAATGTCGAAGTGTCGAGCATGGGACGTCCTTGCGAAAAATGATATCAGGCTTTCTCGCCGTGCTTCAAACTTCAGCAAACCTGATATTATTTTCTTTCTCAAATAACTGGGATTCAACCGCTGCCAGAATCATCAAGTCTTCCTCTATTTGCCTTTTCACCCCTTCTTTAATTTGCAATGCTCCATCGCTGCAGCGGCTAGACATGGCCAAGATTTAGGTGAGGCTCGCAGCGTAAGTCTGTGTGATAAGTCTTTATTGCATGCTACTCGCACTATTGAAAATCCTACCATTTCTATTTCCTTCAGGGCATCTTGAGCTTTGTCGCGACTGTCAGTATATAGACATCTTAGTGGAACGGTGTCCTCCTCATCATTCTCCACGTATAAAGGCTTAGCTTCTTGCAAGTCTACCAGTTCTTCCTCTTCGCTGCTATCTAGGAGATACGCCGATTGTACAATCCGCTGTTCTTCTACTACTCTCGAACCTTTCAATTACAATTTGGGATAGATATAGCCGTGTAGATCTAATTCTACATAATGGCGCATATGCGAGGGCAGCATGTACGTGTAAATAGTTTATTCCGCTTCTAGCATTCAGTGCGCAGTTGCAAGTGAATGCGTATGGACATGCTTTGCAGCTACCCTTCTTGCAATGGTTGTTGCGCTAAAAACATCTGCGTTCAGCAAGCTCAGTAGTATTAACTATCAACGTCTTACCTCACTGTCGCAAGGGCAGAACTGCTCGCGGACGTTATAAACGCGTCCATTATCCTCCACTTCCCACCGTCCATTTCCAGTTATTTGTTTCCAGGTTCTGCCTGCCACGGTACTTTGTAACTGCAGCGCTACGAGATTCGTGGTGCTGCTGCAATCTGTAGCGGCCTTTCTAGACTCCTCTATCTATCTGTTGGTAATATAATATTTTCAAATCAGAAACACCAGGAAATATCTTTTCAGGAATCACCGCTTCGCTCATTCTCTGCCTCTGTGGTCAGCTTGATGAGCAGCTCCAGCAAGCTGTCAATCCTTACGCTGACCCTTCCTTTCAGTTTTCCATGCTTGAAGGTTTGTAGGAACTTTTCGCATAGCATGGAAGTACTTACGCGGACGCTAGTCTACCAAAAGCGGCCTACTGGTCTACTCTGTCGCTCCTATAGTCAAAATTACTGGGTAGAGGACTATATGTCGCTGAAAGGGGGCGATCCCCGCGGTCATTTGCGACAAATGCGCACCCTTGTATATGCGCGGGCATGCGTTCCTGCAGGGAATCCGCGCAGGACCCTTCCAAATTCGGCGACATATAGTCTTCCACCCAAAATTATTCTGTCCATTCAGCAGTAACTCCCAAAATCGAGCAGACCAAGAATTTCCTCATGTAATTCGTTAATGCTCTCTCGCTCTGGTCCCTTAGGTAATCCAGCAACGAAGTGTACTTTGTGTCGAAGACATCCTTATCTCGGATCAAGCAGATTTCCCTCACATTCTTCATGAATGGCTCAAGAAACTCTGACTAGACTACTGGTTCACTTTTTTAGTCGATTGAATAGAAAGCGCGGCGAAAGTACTCTCAATCGGTACAATGAGCAGGACGAACAATAACGACAAAAATAAGATTTCTAGATTTTCTTTTTGAATGCTAGTCTTGAAATAGTGCACTGTGCAACGTACACCACACATTCAATTTTACGCCCACTTCTGTGGTAACGAGTTTTACTTTAACAGCCGTTTTCAATACGTAATGGTCAGTGGCGGTCCCAGGATTTCGGATCGGGGGGGGGGGGCCAAAATTTTTTTTTCAAGTGAAGGTACGTGGCGTCAGCCGCGCACTCCGAAAAAAAAAACCTTTGGGTGCTTCTAAAATTTCTGCAGGTCCATAACCCCTAAAATCTGGAAAAAGGGGCATAGCTGACGCAATTTTTTACATGGCTAATTTGATTTTTGAAAAATTTTAAGGATTATTTTGATTATTTACAAGAATAAACAAGTCAATTGCACATTTTTATAGATATCCAATGACATGGGAATGCCCTTGTATAAGCTAAACATACTAAAAATCTTTTTGGGAAAACATACGATATGCGAAATGAATGATTAGATGAAGTTCTAAAGCAAAGCATTAACAATAATTTGGCATTTGATACTGGGATTAAGTAATGTGCCAAAAATAACAATCACATATGTTAATAACCAGTAGCTTCAAATATATACAAAACAACACATGTGAATACAGTAGAGATTAGACTTTTCCGTTAACAAAGTCGGCAAGCAGGGTGGGAACTGCGGAGTCAAAGCCCACAATGTCCATCATTCCAGCGTCCTCGGGATCAGCGATGGTAAAACCGGTTGAGGTCATTCCCATTACTACAAGTTTAGCATCCTTGATGCCAGATGCCTCACGGTACTGGCGTAAAGCCACAAACGGATGAACCTGAACAAGAACCCAGAGAGACTAAACTAGGTGTAAGTTGAGAAACGTAAACATACATCCCCGAAGTAAGTCTCACAATCAGTGTAAACTACAAATACATCAAATTTCTTGTTTTTATCCTTAGCCCAAAGCATTGGCAGAGCACAATCAGTAGCTCCAAACTAAATAAAATCGTACAGAGAGCACCAACGTAATGAATACTGAAACACTTACACTCAGGCCGTCCATGTACTCCTCAATTTTAGCGATTGTCCAATCGCCACGGAATGGCAGTTCAACGAGATTGTCACAGAAACCAACGCATTCGACCTGGAAAACCAAGTTGTGGAAAAGTACGCGCAAATCGAGGGGTCATTTACTTCCTTCTCATTTTTCAAGCTCACTAAGGATAAAGCAGCACTAGCGGTTCGACATGACAGCATTGTGCCAGATATCTGGGCGCACATACTTCCTGGAATATCAAAGCATGTTTGTTTGACAGTAATTATAAGATGTCCCTCGATATACCTGAGACATCGAATGCAAAGCAGAAACGCTTGTTCGTAGGTGGTGCATTTATGAACGATTTGTAGAATGCATCTTCAAGAGCTTTGTCAATCTGTAAGAATCGGCTTGCTCCAAACACTATATATAGTGCTTTGTTAGGGAAGCTGAAGTAAATCTAACAAGGGAACGATCTCAACTTAAGGTGGCGAATCGGAATGAATTGCATACCATTAGATGCGGCTTGATGAGCTGATTCCAAATCTACCTTCCATATCTGCGACAACGTTATCTGCAAGAAGTTATGAAAAGTTAAAAATGTGAGGTAACGGAAGTTTTGATGCATAATTTGCTTTAAAATCCAACTTGAAAGTGCACGACTAGCATCATATTGAGTGTACTGATTTCACGGAATGCTCACATTCAAAAGAAACGCAAATAAATGTTTTTGAACAGCTAAAAAGCAACTAAAGTTCTTTGGTAAAAGCTATGAGCAATGGAAAGTCCAAATTTGGCAAATATACAGCGCAATATCTCGAAAAGTAGTTGTTCAAAAACACTTATTTGTGTTTCTTTAGAGTGTGAGCATTCCTTGAAATCAGTACACTCAATATCATGCTAGTCGTGCACTCCCAAGTTGGATTTTGAAGCGAATTATGCACTAAAACCCCCGTTACTTCACGTTTTTAATCTTTCATAACTTCTTCCAGATAACGTTGTCGCAGATAAGGAAGGTAGAATTGGAATCAGCTCGTCAAGACGCATCTAATGATATGCGGTTCATTCCGATTCGCCACCTTAAGTTGGGATCGTTCCCTTGTAAGACCTTCAAACCATACCTTTTCATCGACTTCCCACTTCAACTTTCCCTTGTCTCCATGACCTGCTTGATAAACTGTCTTTGCTAGCAGGACCTGAACGCTTTTGAATTTCTCTGTAAGCATAGCATTCTACTGCCTTTGAGTGCCCACCTGTATAGGATGAATTCTTGCGTGTTTCAGCTCACTTTCGCTTGTGAGTTTACTGATGACGGCATCGCGATACTCGCTATAATTGAAGTGAAGGAGAGGTTCGGAAAAACACCATCAACAACTGCTGCCTTACCCAGTGAGCGCGTTTATAGACTGCATCTTGCCCAAATTTCTGATCATTGCGGTCATGGGCATTTTCGCAAGAAGCGCTTGCCAAACAGTCACAGAGTTCAGCATATCGGTAGGAATGTGTTCGCGAACAAGATCTACAAAAACTGAGTAAGAAGACAGAACAAAACGTAGCGGATACTGACTGTGCTTCTTTATAGCCTCCACGATTTTTCCTTCGTCCTTCTCGTCTTTGAGAGCCATGACTGCCTCAACAAGTTTGAGGGCTCTAAAGCAATGCACTAAGGGTGCAAGCGCAAACATCACCAAAGTAGAACGAAAACCTCCTAGTAATACGAAAATGTAGAGATAGGTCAAGTGACGGACCTGCTCTCCACTTCAGTGTCCATCTGAATAGCACTGTATTTAGTAGCAGGCTGTGAGAGATCGGCCTCCTCTTTTGGTAAGTTGCGTTTCCGGGTATTCAAATCACCTGAAACCATCAGAATGCACCGAGTACTTCGCTGCAATTCCCTATTAATATTCCCTTTGTCCTCGAATTTCGTAAACCAAATAATACAAATTCTTCTTTATGCCTTTAAGAAGTACGGAAGTAGTTGATTTCGACGCAACTTTTTTTTTCATCCAATGCAGCACGTATGGTTCTGTTGAAAAGATAACCCACCTTTTACGGCAAAGTGATATAATTGCTCGTATTCCAGAATCGAATTTTCATTCTTCTTCTCAGTGAGAGTCGGATGAGCCAAGCGGAAGAGATCACGGTGAGACCAACCACCCCTCTGAGGATATTTGGTGAGGTGCATAGCAAGAAGCTCAGGAGTCTTGCTTGCATACCTGAATATTATGGAATACTTGGTTTCTAGCACTTCACAGATAATCGACTAATGGAGTAGAATCCCACCATTTTTGTATGGTTGTCCTCATAAGGCGACCCCAGCCAGTTGATTTTTTACCCTCATCGGGTTGTGTCGACTGGGAGACCAATTCGCAATATTTGACAAAAGTGAAAAGGTGTGTGGGGATTCGACAAACCTGAACAGATCATTCTAGTTTCAGGTTCAGACGTGACTTGCCTACACTCACTTCATTCACAATGCTGAATGCAGATTTGTGTAGCTGACTGAGGTACTCATTCTTCGCTTTGATGAGATCTTTTTCGGAGCCTTCTCCTGCAGATTTTTTTGCCTTGGCTGTCGTATCAGAGACATTGTATCTGAAGAAAGGTGTTTATTCCTTCAGAAATAACATTTTTAGATTATTGAGACTTACCTAGCACACAGCGCCAAGGCCATCAGGAGAGGGTCTTGCTTCGGGTTTCGGCCCGACAAGGAAATCTCGTAAACTTCCTTCAGAATCAGGCTCCCATGTCCTTGAATTCAGTACGAGTAACAATAGTGTACAATCTTCCGAATATCCTGCACAGACTGCCCCAATCCCAATCAGGCCAAAATTGGCATGGCGGGAATCCGCGTCGCTAGGGTTTAGCGTCACGCCTACTGCATGCTTGCCTGCTCTTCTTCGATCTCTTCGCTCTCTCCGACAGCGCGCATACGCAGCGCAAACCCCTAAGGCCCCGGACAGACTTCACGCGATTTGATCGTCGCGACTCAATCGCCGACATTTCCATTCATTTCCATTTCACATTCAAAATTTTCGGGCTGGAAAAGTATCACAACCGAAATGCAAGTTGATCTGCATGGAATGATGTTGTAATGTCTCATCGCGATTCAGTCGCGACGATCAAATCGCATGAAGTCTGTCCGGGGCCTAATGCAGTGAACACGTAAATCTGGCCGACGGTTCGGCCTGATCCCAATTGGGTCAGATTGTTTAGGTATGTTAAAGTGTGGGTCTCAGTTGACATACCTCTTTCGATTATATCTATCAGAGCCTTCACATTATCCATGGTCTGCTCCTTTTCAGTCGCATAATACGTCCCACCAGCAGTGCCAAGAATGATGAATCGCCGTACGCGGGTTTCATCGCTCACCGCAAACACAAAACCTCCTGCATCGTTTCGAACCTATATGAGATGATAGATTAGGCGAAGGCTGAGTGTGTTAATCAATTGTGAATTGTACACAGAGATAGAAGTGGGAAAGACCTGATCTTCCCGTTCCTTCAACATCTGGCCCGGGGGACGCTCCTCGTTAACGCAAAGACCTCGGAACTGATCCTCACATCTGGAAGAATTCGCTTAACGAAGCACGATAGCACAAAGAAACCCAGTGTACATTTTTGGAGAGATCACCCTGGACTTGAACCCAAAAAATGCTACTCTAGTTATAAGCTCCGTATCATTAAGGGTGATGGGTGCCCGTGCGGCTCGGGTCCCGCGCGACGCCTAGCCTGGGCACACCTTCTTGCGAGCATGTTCTAAAATCATTTTCTTACAAATGGTTAGCTCGGCTTCTCCCACACTCAGGTGTGGAAAATTGAAAGCACCGTCCACCCTAAGTTAAGGATCCTGAGCTTTTGGCAGCATATGATAGTAGGACCTCCATCAAACCAATGCCCAAGTCGCGGCGCAAAATGTCGCTTCGGAAGCGAGAAAATTGCTCCGGAATAACAAAGGTGCTTGAGGATCCCCAGAGCACCGCCCTCCCCATCCATGCCCACCCATTTGTGCGCGCCCATCCAATCACCGTTTCGCAAAGACGGCCTGTGGGTTCCCCGAAACGGGGATTGTCGGGGTTTTTGCGGATTCTCCACTTCATATTCGGAATCAGAGACATGAGAAGGCCCTGAAATGACAAAAACGGAGTCAAGAATCTGGGTGGAAGGTGCTTCTGAATAGCAAGCTAAAATGGTGCAGAACCCAAGGCGGTTGCGCGGGACCCGAGACGCACGAGCACTCGTCACTTCTAATGATACAGAGGGTAGTACACCCATTTATAGTGGGGGACTGCTCCGAAGCTCTCAAGTCTCCGTCTACTTTAAGCATTTTGAAGGAGTTCTTAGGTGCTTAGGTGATCCATCAACAGCAAGCAATGACCGCGACTCCGAGCACGTAACGCGCTGTGAAGCAAACGCTTGTCCCGATACAAACCACTACTATGAAAGTCGTGCCCTCGCATTTTTTTTACTGTACGTTGCGGCCGCCGCAAACACTGCAGTCCTTTTAGTTTATAGATTATCTAACCTTTGATTCAACTGGCTTGGCGGTTGGAAGGCGAGGCTTTGTGAGCTAACCAAGGCCGCTTGCGCCCGCGGCGCAGTCTGCGTCTCTGTCGCGCGCATGCTTTCTGATCATTATTAGCCTTAATTAGTCAAGAAGCCCCGCCTTCCCGAAGCCAAGCCAGTTGAATCAAAGGGTATATGTGGTTCAGCCAAGTAGATAAATCAAGAACTGGTCGCAGGTTGGACCTGAGCCAGACGATTAAGTGCCAGAACTTGGATATGTCTTCCACTATTACAGAGTTGCTCACTGCTTTGACGTTCATATGTGCAATTCAAAACTCACTTTCGTATTTCGCAGGAGTACTTTTCGGGATAGACATAGGTTTTGTCATCTGGAATTGGCAAATCTCCGTCATCGGCCATTTCTGCAAGAGAAACTTCTGTGAAATCACGGAAACGACGCGGTTTACGATACGTTTGGAAGAAGGTGAAGTAGTGGTTCTAGATGTACGCGCTCATCTTCATATAAAAAATGGTACACAAGAATATGATGACGAGTTTTTGCCAGGTGAATGGCAAGGAAATCGCCGCTTAGAGAAGCGACTCGCACGTTTTCTGCGTTTTAGTGCGCCACTAATGTCGGAGTGTCAATATCATGAGCGATTTTATGATAACGCTGAAACGGCACTAGAAGGTGGAGGCTGCGAGAATTGTGGATTTTTGCCCGATAAAACCATGGTATGGAAAGGTTGCAGAGCAAAGCATCAGAACTACTAGATAGCAGTCAGAAGAACTCGTATTATATTCTTATGGCAGCATCTTCCAGTCAATTACCGAACATGGCTTCAAAGAGTTAATCTGTTTCTCCCATCCTGAGAAACGTTTAGAGATCCTAACAACGCTTCTGCATTTCTGATAAGGTGAGCAGCGAACTAGGAGCTTTGCTTGATGTGTATTCTTATATTCTTATATTTCTAAGGTTCAAAACATGACCAAAACTGCAAAAACTGCAAGCGCCAAGACTCAGAGGCGATCATCAAAATATCAGCTATCTGCTACAGTGCTTACACAAATCCGATTCTTCAAATTTCCATTCATTTTCATCTCTGCCGTAGCATAAATAAATAAATAAAGGTTGTGGCGTGCTTGTCGCGCAATTGGTGCAAGCGCACATACACAGACCTAATAGCAGCTTGCAAAGAGGTATGGTGCATCCCCCAGAATTGTTCCCATATAAATTATCAACGTGGCTGTCTTTCTATCATTTTGACATCTCAACTTCAAATAAGCGCCTTAAATTTACGACTATGTTGAAACGATCGAAAGGCAGCCACGTTGATAGTTCATATGGGAACAATTCTGGGGGATGCACGATATGCTACGATGCCTTTCGAATTCTTGCGGTGCAGCATCGATCTCAAAAATAGTTTTATGAACAATGTTTCATGGCTGGCAACGAAGACAGTTTCTTTTCTTGCTAAAGAGTGCGCTGCAAGTGCCGGTCGTCATAGAGACGAAATTAGTCTCCTGTTACTGAGTAAACTAAAAATTTTATGAGGATATAAGCCCAACTAGTGGCTTAACTAACATGGACTAAAGCAGTGCCTGGTAGTCTACAGATGCAGAAAAGCAGGATAAACCACTTACTTGAAGCTCTGTGAACTACTATTTGGTTCTATTTCCAAAATGTTAACTTGCAAAAAAACTTGCTTTTGGAAAATTAAAAGAACTCAGGCGTGGAAACCACAATGAATGGAATGACTAATCGGTGAACGTGGCGTCTGGTCGTTGCCCTCCCTTCCCCGCCTCGAAAAAACCGCAGCGCTATAGATCGATTCAGATGACTCATTCGATGAACTGACAGCGAAAAATAGCAGTAAATTCGAGCGCCTTTGGTATGCATGCTTGGGGACTATCAGAATGCCAAAAGTCGGCGTTTGAAGTTGTAAAAAACATCCAAATTAATTGGTTGCGAAATTTGCATGAAATTAGTAATATGAATAGGACATACATCCGCATTCAACAAGTAAAGCGACACAGATGGGGTATATTTGTTGAGAGCTCTCTGCAAACGAGGCTGTTTATATAGGTGTCTCAGCGCAACGTACTCGCTGAATTTCGCAAAATTGTGTAAGAAGGCAAACACGTTGCGAAAGGGTGTGAGAAAGAGCAAGCGCGTCAGTGGCGACTGATACGCGTAAAGTAGGCTGGCAAAAACGCAAGAAATGGGCACGGTCGCATCTGAGCAATCCTGCAAGTTTACTGTGCACTCTTTTGCTCCCTTTGTTTTGACTTGCAAGCAAGAAATGGGGACCATAATGTCAAGTGAGTGTATGAAACAGCCAAGTTCATTGAACTGGATCACAACTTATCGATCTTTAATAATACAGTCAACTCCCACGAGATAGCGGGCGGAGCATTGCAGACATTTGAACAAATCAGCAAACTTGTTGGATTTCCTTGTCAAATCCCTGCTTTTCCTCCAATTTCAAAAGCTACCACACGTATAGGTTACTAAACATTCTTAGTGGCCATGCGTTATCCTCCTGACAAAGAAACGATCAGAAATCGAAGTGGCCAATCCCAACAAGCTGCATACCATTGGATGCAGCACAAAATGCTGGCTCCGAATCTGTATTCCGTATCTGCTTAGCACCTATGTGTGCGAAGTTATGAACCGTTAACGCTGCTAATAAATGGTGCATGCAAGTGCAATTATGACTGTACAGAGCCATAGTCGTCTCAATGCTAGCCCAAAACATCCAGCTGGGTTACTTTATATTTTTAAAGTCCAATAGTGATCTGAAATTGCAGCAGTGTGCTCAACGTCGCAATTTTTATGTACGATTTCTTCGCAATAAAACTGCTTGCAACTTCGTCTACAAAGGCGCTAAGCAGATATGGAATGCAGATTCAAAATCACCATTAATTTGCTTGAGCCACTTCGACTTCTGATCATTCCCTTGTGAGAACCAACGATACCGTTTATAATGCATTTATTATCGAATTTGGAATCGCTTTTCGAATTCTTCCAAACATGTTGATTACAATTGAATAAAGCAAAAGCAGCTGGCAATAAGATGACAAGGAATCGGGTTCCAGCCGCAATGTTTCGTTCTGCATAGGAAAGCATTCGCTTCTCAAAAAATCTGTATTCCCACTATTCAAAATGTATCGATGTCAAAAAAAATTAGTTCTAAACAGAAGTTCTAAAAGGCTCATTTGTTTTTGAATTTGTTGGAACGAGAGCTCTGTCGTATTATTTTCGAAAATTCATAGCTTCTTGATTCCTTAATGGTTTTGCATGCATTTGATTTCATTTGGAAGAAGCATGCGCTTGATCATAACCTTATGAAGTACGCATTCCTAATATGAGGAGATAAAAGCAGTAGAAGAAAATTTTCAAATTCAGTTCCATGTTCTGGTCGTAGAAAATTTGAAATTTGCAGTAAAATTCGGAGCAGCAAATATAGTAGATTTCTCAATGCTGCTTTAAAATGAGCGAAGTTTGTGCTGATTAAAAGTCTCTGCAAAAAGCTATGACTATAAGCGATCATAACAAAAACGCAAATTTACGAAAATCGTGTAATACATAGACTTTGCTCATTCGGAACAAGCAGCTCAAGAAACTTATATTGACTGCTCCTACTTTGCGAGTTTCAGATTCCGTACGACCAAAAAGGGAATCAAATTGATTGATTTTCTTCTAGCTTTTTACGCAATGTGTGCCTACTGGGAAGCATGGTACATACACGCACTTATAGAGCGCATGTTCCTCTTCCAAATAAAATAAAAAACATTCAAATCTACTGAGGAATCATGAAGCTATGAAATTTTGAAGGTGATGAGACAGAACTTTTGTTTCAAGCTAATATTGGGCCTTCTTTTTCCACATGTTTAGCCCAGGGTCAGGCGTGTTGTTGCAATCCGGGAACTTCCTTTAAGACCCCCCCCCCCCCCCCCCCGAAGGTACCTATCCGTACGGCCTCCACCCCCACCAACCCTCCCCACCCCATTTCCTTCTCAGACAATCGCAAAGAAGCTTCAGGGCAAACTGAGCTTCTAAAAGTTCGGACGGACGCTGCTAGGTCCGCGTGGCATCGGCCGTATGGCATGGGCTTCGCCCTACCTGGCAGCTCCAGTAGGAGTGTCTCCCTGGAAATTCTAGGAGCTCAGTTTGTCCCAGAGATCCTTTTGCGACTGTCTGAGTTTTGCGGTAACCTCAACGAATGTCAATCACAAAGGATGCCTGCCAAGGGACCTCAATCAAAATTATAGGTCAGAGAAAGATAACTACTTACAAATTGGGAGATAATGCAAGTAATGCTTTACCACTCAAAAACCTACAAATTCTGGTAGTAGTAAGTAACTAGGTTTTACAGAGATTCAACTATGCTGTATTGTGGTCGGGAAAAGATGGATGGAAAGACATCATTTGTCAAATCAGATCATCGATTTTGATCTAAACGATATTTAAGCTGTACCCTAGATGCTAAAAAATAAAATAAAATAACAACTAAGAAAAGTTCGTCATCACGGAACGGTTCACTCCAGCCATTATAATTGATTGTTTTCTAGTAACTCATTTTCTAGTGACAGATAATGAATCCTTCTGCCATTAATGAATGTTTAGCATAATTTATTCATGTTTCAATGGTACCGAAAGATATTCTATGGTTATGGAAATTAGAACGTGTTCTATCCCCGCACCTGACAACATTTTTTTGCAAAGAGAAAAAACGATATTTTGAAGCGTAAAAAAGTGTTTCCGACTAAAAAGCTTACTTTCTACCTTTTGCACAGATTTTCTTGCGAAAAAAAAGACCGTTTCAGTGAAAAGTGCCTGAAGGCGGTAAGAAAATTCGTAACTATGGTCAAGGGAAGATTGAGAGACTGCAGTGAACAAGCTGTGTAGTATAGTGGCCAGGCTATCCATGGAGAAAGTTTCAACCACTGAGAAGCAGTGAGCTCGAAAAAATCTAGATGCGACTCTTGCATATTTGGATGCGATCCTAAAAGCAAAAATTGGGATTTTTGAGCTTCGAAGTTTGTGACCAGGGTCAAGCAAGAGGTGTGGCAACGATCGCTGGTTACGAACCCCTCCTTCTAATTGCTGTTTCAATAAGACCCCCCCCCCCCCTCCTAAACTATACACCTAAGATATCATCACTTGAAGGCCCTGTCAAACATAACGGTCAACATATCCATAATTAGCATGTCAGTCAACCTCTGAGACAAAGTTTGAGCGATTTCTGAAGATTCAAGATACTGGGCCACCAGTGGCGTACCCAGGATTTCGGCTCGGGGGGGGCGACAAAAATTTTTTTCAATGAAGGTGCGTGGCGTTAGCCACGCACTCCGAAAAATTGTTTGGGATGTTTCCCAAAATTTTTCCTGGCTCCTGACTTCAAAATTTCAGAAGAAGGGGACGTGGCGGCAGCCACGCCCGGGAAAAATTTTTTTACAAGGCCAACTTGAATTTTTAAAAATTAATTTAATTGTTTACAAGTAAATACAAGCCCTCTGCACATTTTTATAACGCATTTAAGTAAGTTTCAAAAATTGCGCGACCCATTCTCGGGGGAGGGGGGGCGCCCCCCCCCCCCCCGCCCCACCCCCTCGGTACGCCACTGTGGGCCAACTAAGTGAAATAGTCATTTTTCAAGATGATCAACTTTGTTTCAAAGGTAAATTAGCTACCCGTTTTTGCACTCAAAACAAAGCGCTACTCCTTCTTTGTCCATCTCCGAAATCCCGCTTCAAAAGACCTCTAAGCTGTGGAATTAAAAGCCAACCAATTTCTCGGTTTTCTCATTTTTCGCTTTTGATGGCTGTGATTTCTCCAAATATTACGCGCAGCTACGAAGATGAATCAGGTCGAATCGCTCCTGTGAAATCTACGAGATTCAGGCTATCGATTCATATAAATATTGTTCGCAAAAAATGTTTTTTTGATATAGTTAATGGGGTGTGGCACACCCCCTCAAAAGCTGTGGCTGCCAAAAGCTTTTTAGGGGGGGGGAGTGCCACACCCTATTAACTTACCTTCAAAGCGTTCAAATAGCTGTGTTTTTTGTATCGTTGCTATTGCTCAGCCTTCTTCTTTATATAGCAGGAAATTCACTTGAATTCGTTTCTGCTGAGGAAAGGTATAATCGTTTTTTCCTTACCTATGCAAATGGAAAATATTGCAAAAATATTGGGTTACGGTAACTCCACTACTACGTAAATCGCGAGGGAAGGCGAAAAGAATATACATATATGTTGGATGATCCAAGCCTCGTACTTTACACTAGAGTGATTTGAGCCTGATTGGTCTTTTCTGGAAAAATGGAACAAACAAGATAAGGGCTTGCTCTTAAATCCATGGTTTGAAGTTTGTTTGTAGTAGGATTCCCAATGTGAGCAAAGAAATAGTAGTTCTTTGTATTGCAAAAGAGTGCAAAAAGAAGTAGTTAACTCAACTTCGAAACAAAATTAAAGTGTTAAAAAATGACCATCTCACATCGGTGGACCAATATTCGGAAACCTTAAAATTCGCTGAAACTTGGCCCACAGGGTTTTCGCCATGCTGATTACAAAAGCGATGCTCCTATGCTTTTATAGATCTTGTATTATGCTTACTGTACTTGATAGTAGGCCAAAATATCATTGTGCTAGTATTTTGCATGATGGGCCTACCCGACATTGGTAACAAAGATCATGTTATCGCCAACATCAAAATCACCTTAAAACGACCCCTCCCCCTCTCTGACCCCTCAGTACGACCCCCCAGGTGTGGCATGCCACACCCCAAGCTTGACCCTGTTTGCAACTCGCCGGAGAAGATATGAAAGGCTTGAGATTTTTGGGAGAGAAAGTAGGAGAACGGCATCGTATTACAGAAAATTACAGCCAGCAAGCTTCAGTGACTCCGGAGAAATTTAGATGCGACCCAGATACCACTCCCCTTCCCCTTTTTCCCATTTTTCGTTACCATACATAAATTATAACAAAACCACAGGCTATAAAATGAGATACATCGAGCAAAAAGCAGAAGATCAAGCAAAAATTGTATGGATCGCATGAAAAACAAAAAGATTTACAAATTATTGATGGTTATGGTGGGTAAAGGTACGCGCTTTTATCGAACATGTGAGACTTCATTGAGTCTTCGGAAACAGGACTTTTAAGCCAATCAATGCATACAACATTTTTATTTTATCACACTAGTTGGCTTACCCGGCTCCGCCCCGGCCCTTTCAAAACACCTTGATAAAGTTCTTGACCCTATCCCTGTACAACCTTTCCTTGTGCCCACGTCATTCGCTCTTCCTGTTTTAGTAATCAGCATGCTCGATTACCCCTGTGCCAACCCCCACCCCCTAGCTCAAAGTTTACAAAAAATCCATAAAATCGATATCGATCGATAGCGAAAAGTAGGCTATGACACCCGCCCCGCCCTGTAGTGCATGTGTACAAAGTTTGGTCCAGATCGGATCAGAAAAAAATTTTCTATTCGGAACATACGTACAGACGTACAGACAGGCAGACAGACAGACAAACAGACAAACAGACATTCAATGTCATCTTATATATAAAGCTGAATGCCTGTTTGTATGTCTGTATGTCTGTATGTCTGTATGTATGTCTGTCTGTCTGTACGTATGTTCCGAATAGAAAATTCCATTTCTGAACCGATCCGGACCAAACTTGGCACACATACACTACGGGCCCCGGCGGGTGTCATAGGCTACTTTTCGTCATCGATCAATATCGATTTTATCGATTTTTTGCAAAATTTGAGCTACGGGGCTGGGAGTTGGCACAGGGGGGTAATCGAGCATGCTGATCACCCCCGTGGGGGTGATCAGCATGCTCGATTACACCCCTCCGCCAAATTCCAGCCCCGTAGCTCAAACTTTGCAAAAAAATCGATAGAATGGATAAAGGTAATGCACGGTTTCGAAAACTAATATTGTATTCGTAATCAGCATGCTCGATTACCCCCCCCCCCCTGTGCCAACTCCCAGCCCCGTAGCTCAAATTTTGCAAAAAATCGATAAAATCGATATCGATCGATGACGAAAAGTGGACTGTGACACCCGCCGGGGCCCGAAGTCTATGTGTGCCAAGTTTGGTTCGGATCGGTTAAGAAAAGGAATTTTCTATTCGGAACATACGGCGGAGCCGGGTATGCCAGCTAGTAGTGTATAAGATACATGCCTCCAATAGTGTTTGAGTTTTGAAAACAAACTATAGATGAAGACTGTTAGCCTCAAGTACTTTGAAAAAAAAGTTTTTTTTTCAAAGTACTTGAGGCCAACAGTCTTCATCTATAGTTTGTTATACCTTCTATAAACTTATTGTAAGGACCATGTAACTACTAGTTGTTTACAATTTTCCTTTAAACTTACGACTTTTATCCAAACTTCCTGCCACTCCCACCCCCCCCCCCCCCGGGATGCCTCTTTACGACCCCTCGTTGCGACAGTCGCATCACACGCTTGACCATGATTCGGCTTGTCTTCTCCTATTATATAAACCCTATCCCAAAAAACGCAACGGCTAGATGTCCGCTCACATTTTAATCTATATGAGGCTCAATCAGGGTCCAGCGTAAATTGGCGCGCCACACCTAAGGGGTCGTAGAGGGGTCAGTGTGGGAGGGGGGGTCGTTATTGAGGTGATAGTGATGTTAGCGACATGGTGTCAGTCAACAATGTCTGATAGGCTCATCGTGCAAGATACTAACACTGGTGTTTTGACCTATCTCGTCGTACACGTACAATAAGCATAATAGAAGAATCCTAAAAACATAAGGGTTTCATTTTCATAATTAGCATGTCGAGTAACCCCGGTGGGCCATGTTTAGCGAATTTTTACGTTTCCAAGTATTGCTCAAGTGAAGTGGAAATTTTCGAACACGCTAACTTTGTTTCAAAGGTGAGTAAACTATTTTTTTCTGCACTCAGTACGAAGTACTACTACTTCTTTACTCATATTCAAAATCCCACTTTAACAAGCCTCCGAACACTGGAATTGAGAGGATGCGGTGCGGGATTGACCAAAGGCCTGCCGCCTCTAGCCGTAGGAGATAATTAGGAGCACGAGCGCTGTGGAGAAGATTTTGCGAAGATCTAGAAAAACTTGGCGAGGACAAATATTAGATCTATTAGAAACAAAGGATACGAAGGAAAGATTTGGAATCAGTATTGAAATGCGCATTTTTCAGTAATAAGCCCACCGGATGGATAAACAACTCTGTTTTGCTACTCTGTCTTGTTTTATTTTTTACCGAAAACAGCCTTTAAAACTCACCAATAAAAGCTGAGGAATTTCAAGTTGAATGTTGTGTGAGGTTGAATGTTATTAGGTATTAGGTGAATTTTTGAGTGAAACATTCGAAATTGAAAGTAAGGAGTGGTAATCAGGAAATGAGTTTACTAAGTTGCATGTGATGAACTTGAGCTATTGTGTACAGCCTCAAAAGGATTACCGACATAGTTTCAATGGCGAATCCTATGAAATCTCTAATGTCAAAATACAGTAGAATAGGTTTGAAGTCATATGACAAACTGCATATTGCAACTGGACACAAGCCACCAAATGCGTTTTAGTGACATTCTGATTGCTTTGGTTCATTGACTCAAACTATTCCTTTACCTCAAAGAAAAAAGAATGAATTTTAAATGAAAATCTCGATCTTAAACAATCTGAAACTCCAAAATTCAAAAAAACAAGAGTTTCTATAAGGAAGTCGACTTTTCTTAATCCTATAATTCCCAATTTTCTTACTTTCAGGCAGTGAATGTGCACTTTAATTTGCATTGCAAGTCTGTTTTTGAATTTCTAAAGTCATCTCCAGGCAAGTTGTGAAGATTTGTTCACAAAGGATGTCCCCGCCGCGTTTTCTTGGATGCTTGCCGAAATATTCTCCACATCGCTCGCGCTCTCAACTATGTCCTCCGGATACAGGCGGCAGCCCTTTGGTTCCTCCTGCACCACCCCCGAATTGAAACCAAGACAAAATCTCGTTGGTCCTATTTTCGCTCTCAGTATCTCAAACTAAAGAAAACCAGTCAGGCTCAAACAACTTTTGCAAGTTACTAGGATTAGGCTATCGAATATACACGTTCTTGCCGCCTTCTCTCGCGATTCACATAGTAGCGCAGACTTAGCAGATTGCCGTAATCCAATGTCTTAGCGGTATTTTCCATTTGCATAGTTAAGGAAAAACGACTATATCTTTCCCTAAGGGAGACAATTTTGAGTGAGATTCCTGCTATGTGAAGAAGAAGGTTCAGCAGTAGCAACCATATAAAAAAGACGGAGGTTTGAATGCTTTGAAGAAGTTAATGGGGTGTGGCATAATTCCTCAAAAGCTGTGGCAGCCACAGCTTTTCTGGGGTTGTGCCACACCCTATTAACTTACCTCAAAAAAGAATTTTAGCGAACGGCCTTGGCTCAACCGCAGTTGGTTATAGGGCCGTTCGTAGTTTATTCTACTTCGGCCTAATTCGGCATTTGCCACCATTTATAGGGCTGCACTTTGTCACTAAACCACATAAAATTTGATTGCCTAATGCGGACACGGAAACAGGGTATAACTGTTTTTTACTCGCACGAAAATACACATTGAGAAAAAAAATTGAAGCCTCCGATATAGCAGCTTCGGAAACCAAGGACTGCAAAATTGGATAACCCCAGATGCTATCCAGGGTTGTTTATCTACAGGACCACATATTGGTCTTGTTCCTGCCTGAAAGACTGGAAACACAGAAAAGGCAATGAACATTGAGGGCAGCCTGACCATGCGTCGTACATCCCGCAAGTATCCTTTGCCCTAAAACACTAGGAGCGGCCGAGCTGCGGCCTTCATTTGAAATGAGCCGCGACTCAGCCTGTGCAATGCTCGCCCCATCATTAAGGGCCGCGGCTGAGCCGGTGAGCCCATTTCCTCCCGCGACTCTGCCGGTCCAATGATAATGACATGAACGAGGGGCCGCGGGCCGGCAGCACCCCGGCCACGCCCCCAAATTATGGCTGCGGGCAGACCGAAAAGGCCTTTTGGGGCCGCGGCTGGTCCGCTCCCAGTGTCTGAGTAGTTCTCAATGTATGTGCAACGAGTGTAGTGTATGTGTAACGATATGGCCTCAAATTTTGTAAGCGAACGAAGAGAGGCTAGCGGAGAAGAAGTATGAAAAACACAAAAAATTTATGTGAATGAAGGGTGTATTCATCACTACTTATAATAAAGTGCGTGTCTGTCTGTTCGTCTGTTTGCGTGTTTATGTCTGTCTGTGACGAAATTCATAGAGGGTGTTGTAGGCAAGGTCTTGAGCTGAAATTGTGCTCATGACATCCTATCAGCATGTAGGTAAACAGCGCAGAAGCACAGGCTGATCCGATAATTGGAACCTTCAAAAACTGCGCGTCAAACGGGTCCACGCGATTTTGGCCGACCAACGTGGGTCGGAAATTGTAGTTTCTGCGAAGTTGTGGATTTTATTAACAAGCCAATGCACAGACCATAGACTGAAGTCCGAAAAATGAGCAGAATATCTATTTTCACGCAAAGTCAGCGCCAAAAAGGAGTATTTGCGTACATCAATTCTTCAAGATTATCTGGTTATTTGCAAGATTTCTGCTCAGAAATGTAGGTGACGAAAGTAATTGTCCTTTGTGGAAACTAACCGACCATAATAGTTTCAGTGACTGACCGAGATTCTTTTTTAGTCTTCTACGCAAAGATTTCCTCTTCCCAATTTTGAAGCTCATGGAATAAGTAGTTGTTTCAATTCGTTCATGATGGTTCATGAACGAATTGTAAGTTAGTAAGGCAGGCGCTATACTCCTCGAGGAGTATAGCATGGCGACGGGCGATCGCCAGTCGTAGCGACTAATCGATACGTATCAAACGTGTAGTCGCCGATATTGGCGATCATTACTCATTTCCCACTTCCATTTCAAAGTACTCACCAGCCGGTGAGGTCGCCCCAAAAAGAATGAACTGCAAGACCAGTGATTTTCACATTCAACAGTTAACGGTAACTTGTTTGGCGACTGGCGATCGCTCGTCGTAGCGACTGACGATCGCCCGTCTTAGCGACTGGCGATCGCCAATATTGGCGACAAAAATCGCTGGTTTTACACGTATTTGATGCATATCGATCGTCGCCATGCTATACTCTTCGAGGAGTATAGCACCTGCCTAAGTTAAGTAGTAAGTTTCAGAGTCATCGTCATGCGAGCAAGAGGAGACACATAGATAGAGCAGCCAGTGCAAGCCTCTGCGAAGCAGAGGTGAAGCACTGGTAACGTATAATAACGGGCTAAGAATGTTTACGTATTTTTGTGCGTGTAAGTCTGTCTGTCTCTCACGAAATTCATAGAACATATTTCAGCCAACCTCTTGAGCCCAAATTTTGCACAGCGCATGCTACCAAGATGAGTGTCCACTATACAAAAACACGAGCGGATCCGTTGTGTGGACCCCTCAAAAAATGCGCGTCAAATGCGTCCACTTGGCTTTTGACTCCTAAGAAGCCTGTAGCACAACTTTTTGCAAAGTTGCGGATATGTTTGACAAGTTAACGTGCGAGCCATGGTCTTTAGCCTAAAAAATTAAACTAAAGTTTATTACTTTGCGAAAACGGCGCCAAGAAGAACTGGTTGCGTAAATGTTCACTTTGCCAAGAATTTCCTCGATCATGTTCGTCATAGTAGGCATAGCGCGGTGAGTTTAAATGTCGTTATTGGGTGGAAATGAGTAATGTATATAGATAGCCAGTGCGAGCCTCTGCGAAGCAGAGGTGACGCACTGGTAATTTAATAATTTTCCAAAAATTTTGCGTAACTGGTGAATGAAGACGTGAATTCAAATGGCTCGTTTGCAACGCCTAGATGACGAAATCGCGCGGGATTTGGTATGTGTGCGGGCAGTAGGACTAAGGAACAAAGTATGAAAAACTATGAAAAACTTATGTAAACGAGAGAGTGCCCAACTTTTCGAAATTAGGTAGGCAATTGTCCACCTAATGCCCACCTAGGCAGACAATCTCCAACTCACATAAGTTTCTCAAAGTTTTTACATAAATGTGTTCTACACCTAATTTTAGTAGTATATGGAGTTTGGGTTCCAAAACTCCTCGTCTCCTTCTTGGTGGGATCAAGAATAGCAACAACGCCGGTCCTTCGGAGAAAGCGCGCTCCAGTCGAACAACTCACGCAGCTGGCGGGATCAAGTGGGAAATTGTGAAAATCGATAGTAGCAAAGGCGTAATCGTTCCACCAATGTTCCATTTGCCATCCTCGCGCTGGGCTCTGGGCACACCGGGCTCTTGCCCTGGTAACATCCTAATATACATAACGCATCGAGGGTGCGGGCGCCCGTCCCAGTCCGGCCGCGACCCGGACGGTAACCCCTACGCGAGTGGGAGATTGATACATACCAGTCTTTGTCAATCTATGAGCAAAACGTCCGTCCTTTCAAATTCAGGTCATTAGACTTATTAAGAAGAGATCTAATGAGAACCTGGAACGAAATTTCGTCAAAAACTAATGAGAGCATTTTGGAAATACTTAAGCCAGGAAATACTAAGGAGATGGACAATTGGGATGTAATCTTTGACACCCTATACAAAATTCTCTTGTCTGTTAGAGAAAAACACAAGCTTTTCACTTCATTAATCTTAGCAGTTATGAAAAATTTGTACATTTTATGTGGATTGCCCTGCACACTCAACCTTCATGTGAGCTATACATTGCAGTTCGATGCTGAATGTCCCCCCCCCCCCCTCCGTTACATTGAGGCGGCAAGCCATAGTGAATTGCAATTTGTTAAGGATGCAGATTTGTGTACTAGTTAGGTGAGAGTAGAAGAATGAAAATGCTGTCCCACAAAGCTTGGCTGAAAAACGGTTATGAAGTTTTGCATTTGCAAATCAAAACGGAATTATTTGTTAGCCAACCTGATACTGAGGGCTTCGACTTGTCCAACACGATAATCAACGCAAAATGAATACAGTACAAATCACTTCTGATTAGCTGGCGACACGATGTGGTCTGTTATTTACAATCTACTCAGACGGCGGCAGGAGACTACTGCAAGGCCCTTGACCTAAATAAAGGCAAAAGAATACTTACAGGGGAAGAACGCTTGGTCGAAATGGTCTTATGGAAAGGGGAGTACATGGGTGAGTAGCTCTTGGAACGCTGATCTCAAATATCATTACCTGCGAACCTTTTTGATTGGATAGAGGAACGAAAATCTCACTCAAGCGACGCTTCCACGGATGGTGGTTCTAACACGGTACTAGCATGTGCAAAAGACAAGTGGTTCGTGGAGGCGCCTCAAGTTGAGGTATTCGTTCCTCTATCAGCCTTTGTCTTCCAAACAATTAGCCTCTGCTATGGCAACGCGAAGGATCTTCCAAGTGTGCTTCTGTTGTGTAGCGGTGATTGTCTCAGTCTTGCAGGCAACAGATTATAGTTGGGGTTCCCTTATTGTTGGCATCTTTGCGTTTATTAAAGACAAGCTTTTGCTTTGGACAAGCAATATTCTGGCAGTAGCAGACTCAATGCAACCATTCATTTTCTCATTTCTGAAAAATGTGAAACGATATTTGTAGAACAAATCAGCTGTTTCGAAATCTTTACAGTCTGTCAAATAGATCGTTTGCCTGAAGCAACACATCTTTGGGAAATGCAAAAACAGCAGCAAGAGTCCAACTAGCCTGTTGCTCATGAAAAAGCCACGCACACAACACCACATTTGCAGGGAACTTCGTCTATTGTCCAGCGGCCGATTCTTGACTCAGAACAGATTTGGCAATCTTTGCAACTTTCAAATACAGTACTCGTCGCCATTCACAGGGTAATCGTGGCGGGACCATACGTGTTTTGTAATGTGCTGTGGAGCAGCACAATTCTGAATGCGCTTTGAACTCGGACTCATGAGGGACAACACTTTTAGGCCTGAACACTCTTTGTTCGATCACCTCCAGTGTCGGGTTTCCAGCCAAAACTCGAAGAAAGTGCTTGTAGTGATTAATATCACTCTTTTCTTCTTCAAATTGGATTGTGGGGCTTTTAAATCGCTCCCTTGCACATCTAGGATTCTTACCACATATCATCAGATGTAGTGGCTTTGATCATCGCATTTGTATGTCTGAAGGTCATTTTCAAACTCTCTTTGACTTGGAGCTCCCATTTCACATTATCAAGGCCTCAGTTTTTGCTGAAACTTCGCGCATTGTTGAGATTTCAATCACGTAGGTAATACTTTCTTTGGACAGGGCCTCTTTAGAGAGGCTATGGTATGTGAAAGTTAAGGAGTAAAGGTTCAAAACCTGCGCAGACTGTGCATGGAAGCTCCTCTATTCTATTAGGTTGTCAAGAAAATAATATCGTTATTTTTCGGGTTTTTTCGCGTAAAATTGATACTACTCAAGAACTAGAGCATTTCCGAGGCCAAACTTTTTTGCTTAAAGTCATGAAGCTTTGTAGTATACAATGGCATATGTGAGAGGGGCCCAGTACTACTGAGGGCGGAGTTTGCCATTTCCCATTTTCAATTTTCTCCTGGTTTCTAAGCATGGAAAAAGTATAGCAAGTATACCTATGGATCAGTGCATGTGTCTTCTACATGCAGGAGTGAGTGAGAGTTTCGCAGGATTCTCCAGAGCGAAAACTCAATGTTTGGCATTACGAGTTGCTCATATGTTTCGGCTCTGAACTTTGCGTAAACAATGATTCTGCTAATGTTCGGAGGTCGCTTGTACAGCTTCCTTTGCTCTATCGAATGGTACCCCTCATATATTTTTTTGCATTTGTCTTATGGCTTTGCTATGAAAAACGACATTATTTTCTTTACAACCTAATAATTACAGAGATCTTCTCTACTTAACAGGTAGGCTTGAATAAACACGATAATTCATCAGACTTCTATCTAATGTGTAAGCCATTCCCCGCATACAGAGTAGGGAAGCTACTATGGACATTGTCTAGGCCTCCTCGACAAGCGCTCTTTCATCTTTTCTCCCATCTGATGTTTCTTGTAGATCCAATTACCCTAGTAGCTAAAAGACTAATCAGTCTCTACAAATTCACAACTAGCGGGTACCACCCAAGGTCAGCAACCAAAAGATGGCTCTATGCAAAGCCGACAGCCGACGTTTTGATTCCTATTGTAAGGACTAACCCTATAATGCGGAGCAAGCATAATGGTTGTTGTCAAAGGCGTAAATCAGCTTATTAGGGAAATCTTAGCGGGATCCGATAAACGAAGTTTTGGCTACCCAAAAGAAATAGAGCCAATTTCTCCATCCCTTGTTTCTTCTTTCCTCTTATTACCACCCAAGAGCGCTAATACAGGTGGACTCCACATCTTTTCTCCATGAGAAAAATGTCATAAGTGACGTAATACATTTGTGCGCATGTTCTGCGATACCGGCAGTCTAGCTTCCTGGTTTCCGTAGTTGTGCGTGCTTATAAACGCGGAGACCGTTAATTCTGAGGGTTAACTATGAATTTCAAAATATACTTTACTAGATGCTTGCACATTATTAACTACATTGCTTTGGAAATGATGAGCCAAAAGTAGGCTCTCGCAATCATGCTCCATGGCGCACTTGCAAGGCTTCTCTGAGAAAAGTCTGAAGGGCATGGAGCAAGATTGCCAGCAAGTATGATCACAGAATACTGAGCAAATAATTTTTGTCCGTTCAATATTTAATCTTTTGCCTTATTGGCCGTAAATAACGCAAAATATAGATTCAAACACCTCTCCCCCATGCGCATTTTTTGCGCCTGTTCCGAGTAATAATTTTAGGCACTGCGATTTGCTTGCGGTAGCAACACATGTGCTTTTCCGATTGAAATAAGTGATGAGGTTTTCAAGGGAGTCACTTAAACTCGAAATTGATATCAGCGTTCGCAACACCAAGCGCTGCTCCACAGCCTGTAACAAAGATAGTCCCGACACGGACACCCTGTAAATGGCGCCGGCTTACTGTGGAAGTTGCAACGACTGCCAAATCTGTTCTGTATTCGTACGCGCAAGCCAATCTTACACGCGCTCGGACGAGTTGGCAATTCCCCTTCACCAGGACCCGTAGTAAACCCCTCGTGGTTGTCACAACATAGAGGGACTATGTCGTGATAGCTCGGAGTATCTCGCAAGACTATAGCGAGCTATCCGCAGGGCACCGCAAAGCGAGCGCCTCCGCGCGTCATTGAACCGCTGATGACCGCGATAACAGCGGTCACACGCGCTGCGCTATGAGTACAGATATGCCTTGGGGTATTTGCTTAGCAAGGCAAGAATGTAGTATACTATGCTTGCCAGAGCAGGTAAATCAATCAAAGGAAATCCAATAATTAACTATCCTCGCGTGTGCGCGCCTCTTTGTCCATATTTTGACTCATTATCTCATGTTCATCAATATTGATAGGAAAACGCAGTTGATCTATGTCTGTTGCTGAATTATGCTTATCTTTGTACACCATGCTGTAAGAAGCGCCATTATCCGCTAAGCCATAACGCCAGTCGGTCCTTTCTCATAAAAAAGAAAGGAAACGAGAGGTGCATGGCTAACGAACAGCAACCAGCAAAGATATGTGGTCGAAACTGCCAAGAATGATGAAAAGATCAAGAATTTGCGAAAGTTTGGCACAAAGAAGGGACTTTTTGCTCAAACAAGGTGCATAGCAAAAATAAAGAAGAAGAACTGCATAAGTACGAAAAATATGGCTAAGTATGAGTCTAACATACTTTTTAGTTAAAATAAACTCACCTTTTTTTAAATACCAAAGCGGCAGCAGCAGAAGTACTCGGATAATAGGGAGAGGCGCATTGCTCGAACAGTTAGGCGCTTATCAGCTGTTGATATTGATTGCGGTTGACGTGCGTTATAGAGAACTGTGTGCATGTGCGACCTATTGCGAGGTTGGCGTAGTCGAGCTCTAGTCTTGCGCTATGTCTCTGCGTCTCTATGATGGACAAAGTATTTCGCCGTCTTGTTCGTCACGACATGTCGCAATATGTCGCTATATGTCGCGATATGTCGCGACATATCGCGACAAAGTGCGACTACCCTGACGCTACGCATCGATTGCATCCGCCGGCAATGATAAAAAATAGCCGCTTTGCCAGCCTCGCTCCATGATAGTCAGCACATGTCACAGCATACTCCGAGCTATACGTCACGACGTCCGGGGGGTTTACTACAGGCCCAGACTGCGAGCGCCGCAATGCTATAAACACCACCGGGTCGCGCAACGATTCAGCGTCTTCATCCTTGCTTTACCCTTCCGATCTCAAAGCGCAGGGCATTGGAAAACGCTCGTTGTTGGCATTTTTAAACTTTCTAAAGTGGATTTCTCAGCGCATTGGATCACCCCAGGTAAGCAAGAATTTAACTAGGTTAAGACCTGCTGAACCATTGCTTTTGAGTAGCCAAATGAATAAATATTCAAATGAAATCCCCTTTTTTCATTTGGCCGTTCCAATCAAGACCGTATAATAATGGGCTAGGGGTTTACGTATTGTGGGTGTGTGTCCGTCTGTTACGAAATTCGTAGAGCATATTCCAGCCAACGTCTTGAGCCCAAATTTTGCCTAGCGTATACTACCAGCTCGAAATAATATGCAAAAGCACAAACGGACCCACTGAGTATATCCTTTGCAAACTGCGCGTCAAACGGATCCTCTTAGTTTCTGGCCAGCAAAATTGGGCCTATACAACCATTCTTTGCGAAAGCTAATGTGGAAACCATAGACTTTAGCCCAGAAAGTTGAACTAAAATTAAACACTTCACGAAAATGGCGCCAAAAATATTAGTCGCGTAAACGTTCAATTTCTCAGGATTTTACCCATTTGAGAAGATTTTTGCACAGAGATGTAGCCCACGGTGATTGTTGTCTTTATGGCAACTAGCAAACCATAAAAGAAACTGACCAAAATTTGCACCCCTTCTGGAGGAAGTTTCATTAACGCGAAAATACCGATCTCACTCGAAAAAGCTCTAGGAATGAGTAATTATTCACAAATTATTCGTGATACCCGCATAGCGCGGTGAGTTTCGTTGTAATTATTATGCTGGAATGAGTAAGGCATACGGCCTCTGCGAAGCAGATGTGACCCACTGGTTACTGAATAAATACGTTTTCTTAAGTATCGACTATTCGAATGTC